TCAAAACCATTACATAATTGACCCAACTAATAAAAAACAAAATAGAAAATAAAAATACAAGTTAAGGGCAAAATAGAAAAAAAAACTAAGTATAAGCTACCAAAATGAAAGAGATTATGATATATATAGATATATACTAGGTAGAAAAAAGCCCCGCGGAAGATACGGGTTAAATGTTAAAATAAAAAATTTATATGATAAAATATAAATGAATTAAATTATTTAAGTTAATTAGTTGTGTACTATCTTTTATTAGAGGCATAGAATACTTAACTTTTTATAAATTTTTGAAATCAAAATTTAAATGATATTTTATACATCTTAATATTTTATTTGAAAACTTATTTTCTAATTTGTATACGATAGCTTGCTTGGTTGTGTTTTTTCAAAAAAAAATTTCAGAAAATTTTACTTTTTTGTTTTTCGTATTTTTTTGTTTTTATTGATTTTTTTTAATATTTTAAGTAATTTTTTTTACTTTTTAGACATACCTAATATAAATATACCTAAAAAGTAAAAAAATTGTGAAAAAAACCTTTTAAAAATTCACTAAATACCAAAAATACAAAAAAAATACGAGAATTCAGTACATTTTTTATATTTTTATGTATTTATTAAAATCTTAAAATATTTTTTCACAAAATTTTTACTTTTTAGATACATTTAAGTAAGGTGCATCTAAAAAAGTTTAAAAAAATATTTAAAATTTTAAAAATATTCACTAAAAATAAAAAAACACGAAAATCAAAAAATTCAAACCAAACATACTGAATATATTTTTTTTATTTTTGTAAATAAATCACGGCCATATAACAAATGATCCATTTTGTTAACAAAGAAATCATTAAGTTAATTAACAACTTTTAATTATATTGGAAATATCTTTTAATGAATGATTTTGATAATTTTATTGTCATTGGAAAGTAGTTAGATTTATTATTATTATTATTCTGTAAAATTAAAAACTTGAGCAAACTGTAGTTGTAATTTCTAGTATTATAAGGGCAACTCATATTTTAAACAAATCTCAAGATGTATTTATAATTTAATTAAAAAAATTCATATTTCATAATTGGCCAAGATTTTTTTACATAATTATTATAAAACCTTTATCTAAATTACAACCACCAATAGTGGTAAATATTACCAGGAAAAGAGCAAAATGAAAAAAATTAAAATACAAGCCACCATGAGTAATAAACAAAGTGAAACGGCAGATTGGGAAACTGAAAAACACTCATACTAAACACTCTTTTATTAGTATAAATTATTTGAGATTATTATTAAAATAGTATAATATGCTCTGTTATTTATAGGGAAAATCAGAGTACTTTCTTAAAATTATTACATACTCATGGAAAAGTTTATAACAGTATTTATCAAAATTAATAAAGTTTAGAATCCATCTAAAATTATTTTTTAAATAAACATTGATCTATTATTCTATCTTATTTTGTGTGGGTAATTTTCTGACCACACTGCCCGCATAGTAATCAGCTGGAGAGTATCGGCAGAATAGATGGCTTCAACAGACCTGTAAAAAGAAAAGGCTTCCGCGGTGGCTCTTCCACCCGGGAGCACTCCGACGATCAAGTCAGTATACCTCTCAAAGATAATCAAGTGCTAAACTCACAAGCTTGAGTATAAAACTGCGTACCTTAGACCCACGGGGGTGCCTCTCTTATATAGTTTACTCAATCCAAGTCCTATTAGAAGCCTAACTTCTATGGACTCCAATTCAGTGCTTACTTTGGATTTCTCAAGAGATAAAGATAAACTCTCTAAGAGCTTTATCCTTATCTTAGCAAAGTCTTCTCTTTACTCTAGGACTCTTCTCCCTTATCCGCTTATCTTGGATTCCGATATCTTCGGAGATCACCTCGGCCTTGCCTAGGTAACCTCGGCATAACAACCAGGACACGTGGCACCTCGGCTGACACGTCGGCGTCACCATGCCACGTGTTGGTATTCAGAAAATACATCCCACAACTGCCCCCTAGGTTCTATTACCTCGGGATTCTGAGGTGATGGAACCTATATCTGTATTTTCTCCAATACCTCGGCGTAAGAACTCTTCGGCCGGCATGAGCTGTCATGCACCTTTTCTCAACCGTTCCCCTCACGTGCTTTATCCTCATTGGCCCGTGTCTGTGACGCGCCTGAAAGCTGTATTTTACCCATCTGCGCTGTCTGACGTGTACGTTGCTCCAGGCGTAATAAATGCCCTATTTTTGCCGCCATTTCAAGTTTTTTACAAAACTTTTCCCCCTTTCTTTTCGTCTCTTTACTTTTGTTTTCAACTTTCTGGCTTTCTCTCTCTCTTAAACCTTCTCAAATCCGTCATTGCTCTAGCTCCAAGCTCTGCAACCGTCTTCATTCTCCTTTTGAAGCTTTCGCCGTTCCGTCGTGTCTGCAACCGTTGCCTTACCTCGGCGACCTTTTATTCCAGCTTCATTTGTTCTGGTAAGCCTCTGTTCCTCTTATTCCAAATTTCTTCTATGTGCTTCCGTTTACTTGCTGCCATTATTGCTTTGTTTTAAACCTTTGATTTTGCTAAACTGTTCATCTGGACGCGTTTATTCCATGATTTCACTCATGTCTTGAACACTTGTACTGTTTCAATACTTTTTTGCCTTTGTTCTTGAGCCTGTATTTCTTATTGTTTATGCTTTTGAAAACCATACCTCTGTTCTTGATTCTGAAACGTCATTCTTTGTTTCTTGTTTCCTGTGTTGTTTTCCAAATCTCTGCCTTTAATTCTTGCTTTCAATCTTTGCCTTCATAGATTTAGGTTTGGGTTTTGTCTGTAGAACCTTCAATTTTAGAGAAAACTGAAACAATCCTTACCAGCATATACCTAGGGTTTCGCCGAGGTTCCAATAACCCTTTAAGAATACCTTCTTTCTGAGACCTAGCCCTCTGATTTTAGGCCGACGTTATGGGTATGTGGAGACATAGGGTAGATACCCCGACCAAACTTGAGTACTTCAGGCGGGAGTTCTCAATTCCTGTCGATGTCCATTGAGGCTGGCTGAAGATAATGACTCTATCATGCCCACAGATGATTCAATGCCCTTTCCTATAGTAGCTTTTACTGAGTGCGGGCTCCGGCTCCCACTTAACATTCTTTTTCGCGAAATTCTTCACTTTTACAAGTTGAACCCTATGCAACTTGCCATAAACTCTTATCGAGTGATCAATGGCATCATAGCTTTAGCTAGGCAGGAGAATGCTAGGATTTCCCTGGCCGACATTCAGTACTGTTATACCATGTGCCCCCTTAGCCTGAAGGAAAAAGGCTTCGTTTATTATCTTAAGCCAAGGTTGACAGAATACAAAATCGTAGCTGATCTCCCAGACTCTAACAAGGGAGCTGGAGATGACTACGTTATTGCTTCGGGAAATTGGGAGTTTGGCCCAGACGATGACGCCCATCTCCACCCTCTTCCCTGAACTATTAAAGAGGGCAAGGATAAGAGCCCAATGTCAATACTTTAGTTGTTTCTGTTCAAGTCTTCAATATTTAATCTGTTTCTAATGTTTGTTTCTTCTTGCAGACGTTCGTAAGTTACCGAAAGACTTTCGGCAATCCTACGTTCCCAGCAGAGACTTAAAGAAGCTCCTGGATCTGCCACTCCAAAAGCGCAAGGCCCCACTGGTACTGAATTTTATTCCGACGTACAAGTCGACTTTGCCCGACGTTCCCAAACGAAAGAAGAAAAGCCTTTCTCCTCCTACTGCCACAACTCAAACCACCTCTTCATCACGAGCAGACCAAGGATCTACTTCTGACCCAGCTGATCTGCCATCAACTTCAGCCCCATACTTAATCCCAATACCAGAAAGAAAGCGTCGGCGACGACTCGTCAAAACTGCTGAGATGGGTCGCCCGAAGCCCGTTGCCCAAGATCTCCTAGCCAACCTTCCCACGGATATTGATGCTCAACCGACGCAAACCATGCCCCTACCAAAGCCGAAGAGAATTAAAAGGCTCAACCCAAGGCCAAAGCCGCTGAGATTGAGGCTGAGAATGCTCTGCCCATCTCACAATTGGCTGAGAGTAAAAAAACTGCTTCTACTTCTGCCAAGAGGTCTGCGGAGGCCCAGCCATCAGAGTCCACTCAATCAAAGAAGCCGAGGTCATCGTCTGCGACGACCTCGGGTTCCAGAATACCAAAAGTCTCTTGGAGACCAGAGATTACTCAGGAAGATAAGCCAATCTTGGCCAGCGACAGTGCTGATGACGTAAACGTCGGCGTGGCCTTAAGTACTGCTTGACCCAGCTGATCTGCCATCTACTTCAGCTCCATACTTAATCCCAATACCAGAAAGAAAGCGTCGGTGACGACTCGTCAAAACTGTTGAGATGGGTCGCCCGAAGCCTGTTGCCCAAGATCTCCTAGCCGACCTTCCCACGGATGTTGATGCTCAACCGACGCAAACCATGCCCCCACCAAAGCCGAAAAGAATTAAAAAGGCTCAACCCAAGGCCAAAGCCGCTGAGATTGAGGCTGAGAATGCTCTGCCCATCTCACAATTGGCTGAGAGTAAAAAAACTGCTTCTACTTCTGCCAAGAGGTCTGCGGAGGCCCAGCCATCAGAGTCCACTCAATCGAAGAAGCCAAGGTCATCGTCCGCGACGACCTCGGGTTCCAAAGTACCAAGAGTCCCCTGGGTGCCTGAAATCACTCTGGAGGATAAGCCTGTTCTAGTTTCTGACAGTGTCGAAGACATAAACGTCGGCGTGGCACTCAGTACTACTGTTCTCCTTCCTGGTGATCTTGAGCGAAATGCCAAGATGAGCGAGTATGAGAACTACGCCCTCATGCTCCAACGCTCTGTACAAGTAAGTTTCCCCATCTGGTAACTTGTCTTTCTGTCCCTTTTTTCTATACTTACAAGGTTTGTGTAATAACTTTTCCCTTGGGTTCTTTCAGGCCATTCAACATGCCCATTCTCTCTCCCTGCAAGCTTTTGAAACAAGGGAGAAGTTGGCCGATATGAGGCGGGAGGTTTCTACCTTGAAAAAGGAAAACAAAACTGTTCTAACAAAGATGAAGAGGTTGGAAGATCAGGCCGAGGCTACCACTAAGGCCCAACAGATGGCCGAAGAAAAAGCGGAATCTGCTGAGGCTATCAGAAAAGTTGCCGAGGCCGAGAAAAAAGAGGCCGAAGTAAAAAAGGCTCAAGCCGAAAAAGAGCTTCAGAAGGCTTTGGCCACCAAAAAAGCCGAAATCAAGGAAGCCGATAAGAAGGCTTACGCCCAGGGCATGGCTGACGTCACTGAGGAATATAAACTTCAAGTCAAGCAGGCATGCAACAGGGGCTTCTCTCTTGGTTGGATGGCCCTTGCCAAGAAGCTTAACATTCCTAATGATTCGCCACTGCGCAAAGCCGACGCTATTCCTCTTCCATTTCCTCCACCTCCAAGCCAAGCTGAAGATGAATCTGAGTCTGAACCTGAGGATGAGGATAAGGATGATGATGAAGCTTTGGTAAGGAAGCCCAAGGATTCCAGTGAGACCAAGTCTCCTCCTCAGGAGGATCAAGTCCTAGACTTGACTCATGAGGAGGATGAGGAGGTTATCAAGGAGACCACTCCTGAGCAAGCATCATCTGATGTTCCTCAAATCGGCAAGAGCGTTGATGAAACCATTGCTAAGATCAACGCCGAGATTGCTGCAGATAAAGAAGCCGAGGTATCTCTTCAGGAGACTTCTGAGGTTCAGATCCAGCCAGATGTTGATGCTGAGAAGTCTTAACTTTCATATTTTTTCTTTTGCACCCTTGTACTTTGTTTTATTTTCTGGACAATGTAAGCTCCTTTTCATGGCCGATGTGCCTTTCTTTGTTACTTCATAACAGTTTACTTCTGGTAGGCCATAGTGCCTTCTTTTGTATACAACTGCAACTGTTTTTCTATGGATGCTTCAATCTTTTAATTTCTCTTGATTTGCTTCTGCGTGGTTCTATACTTAGAATATCTTGCATGCCTTTCATATCTTGCCAACTTTGTGCAATCTTCTCGGGGTCACATATCTCATGTTTAATAACTACAAGTTTTACTTCGGCAAGATACTGACCTGCAGACTTTTCATAAGTTTCAACAAGTGTAAAAATATACTATTCAATGTCAATTTTGCAAACTTTTTTCCAAGTTTCAACAAGTATTTAAACAGTGATCTTAGTCTAATCCTACTTGTAAATTGCTGCAAATTTCAACAAGTGTTAACATATACTGTAAATTTTTCTCAAGTTATAACAATGATCTACTTGTAAATTGCTACAAATTTCAACAAGTGAAGAGAAACAGTAATCTCGGCTTAACTCCAACTTGTAAATTGCTACAAATTTCAACAAGTGAATTAAGTGTCTCTGTCTTCTCTCTGCCCCCAATGTGAACCTGAGTTTTACTTTGGTTCTCATTATTCATGTCTCCAAAAACACCAATGTGTAACTTTATCAAATATATGTGTTTTAAGAAAAGGGAAAAGATTTATTGATGATATCGGCTAAAAATATTGCACATCTAATGATAGAAGAATTTTAAATTACAAGTATTCCAAGGTCTTGGTAGTGCTTTGCCCTCATTATCTTCAAGCCGATAAGCTCCATTGCCTAATACCGAAGTGATTTTGTAGGGTCCTTCCCAGTTTGGGCCAAGCTTGCCCTCTCTAGGACCTTTCTTATTGCCGACGACTTTTCTTAGGACTAGGTCGCCGACTTGAAAATCTCTTGGATTGACTTTCTTGTTATAAGCTCTGGCAAACTGTTGCTGGTATACTGCGAGCTGAATTGCAGCTTTCTCTCTTTGTTCTTCCAAAAGATCCAGATTTCGGGCTAAGATTATATCATTGGTGCCATTCTCTACTCCCGGGGTTCTGATCCCTGGGATGCCGATCTCCAATGGGATGACTGCTTCTGTGCCATAAGCCATGACAAAGGGGGATTCCCCTGTTGATCTCCTCGGCGTAGTCCGATATGCCCAAAGTATGTTGAGCAATTCATCTACCCACTTTCCTTTTACTGCCTGCAGCCTTTTCTTTATTCCATCCAAAATTACTTTGTTGGATGCTTCTGCTTGCCCATTACTTTGGGAAAAACTTGGTGTTGAAAAGTAATTCTTGATCTTGAATTTCGCACAAAAGTTCTTGATGAGTTTGCTGTCAAACTGTGTTCTGTTGTCGGCAACTATTGCTCTTGGAATTCCAAATCTGGTGATGATGTTTCTCCATATAAAGTTTTTGACGTCCACATCTCGGATTTTGGCAAGATGTTCTGCCTCTATCTACTTTGTAAAGTAATCTGTTGTCACCAGCAAGTATTTTCTCTGCCTAGTTGCCTGGGGAAGTTTCCCAACCAGATCCATGCCCCATTGGGCAAACGGCCAAGGGCTGGACACTAGGTTTAGGTCAGCAGCTGGCTGATGTATCAAAGGTGCAAACTTTTGGCATTGTTCACACTTCTTTACGTAGGCTTCAGCATCCTTCTGCATGTAGGGCCACCAATACCCCTAGGTAATGGCCTTGTGGGCTAATGATCTGCCCCCAGCATGGCTTCCACAAATTCCTTCATGAATTTCATACAGAAAATCTTCAACCTGCAAAGGGTGTACGCATCTTAAAAGTGGTCCAGCGAAGGACCTTCTGTAGAGGTGTCCATCTTCTGTCAGACTAAATCTTGCAGATTTCAATCTAACTTTGTGTGCCTCCTTACGATCTTCTGGCAGCTTTTCTTCTTTCAGGAATACAACAATTGCATCCATCCAGCTTGGCCCCATGTCCACACACATTGCTTCCTGCTCTGTGCTCTGTGGTTCTATGCTCGGGCCCGACATATAGTCGATCATAATTGTCCTTGTTTTTCCAGTCTGCATTGAACTTGCCAGGTTAGCCAACGCGTCGGCGTGGGTGTTGTCATCTCGGCTAACTTGGAGTAGTCGGCAGTTCTGAAATAGGGCTGCCAATCTGATGACCTCTTTTGCATATGCCGACATCCTTTCGTCCTTGGCTGCAAATTCACCTGTTGACTAGTTAACAATGAGTTGTGAATCACAAAAAACTATTACCTCATCTGCTTCTGCTGCTACTGCCAGTTTTAGCCCTGCAATTAATGCTTCGTATTCTGCATCATTGTTTGAGGCTTTGAACCCCAAACGGATGGACTGTTCTATTATTTCTCCATCTGGAGATATCAGCAGTACTCCTGCCCCCGCTCCTTGTCGGTTCGAACTTCTATCGACGAATAGTCTGAATGAGTCGCCGATGTAGATGCTGCAGGGTCTGAGCTTTTCCTTCCTTTGCTCTTTTGCCTTTGGCTGGGATTCTCCTTGCTTGCTGGGACAATGCTCATCCTGGCTCAACGGAGCCCGATGTTCGATTGTTTCGGGGGTGAATTCTGCCACGAAGTCGGCCAAAACTTGGCCTTTAACTACTGTTCTCGGCCTGAACTCCAGGTCATACTGACCTAGGGCTACGACCCATCTTGCTATCCTTCCTATTAAGTCTCCTTGCTGCAACAAGGACTTCAGTGGATGCTCTGTTAAGACCATAATCTTGTGCGCCTGAAAGTAATGGTTCAACTTTTTTGAAGCCATTACTAAGGCTAGCATTAATTTCTCCAGTGGTAGATACTTTGTTTCTGCATCGGCCAAGGTTTTACTTACATAATAAACAGCCTTTTGCTTCCCTTTTTCTTCTCGGATTAGTACTGCACTGACTGCGTGTTCTGAAACTGCCAAGTACAAAAACAGTTATTCCCCTGGTTCTGGATTGGAAAGAACGGGAGTTGTGGTCAAGTACTTTTTTAGGTCGGTTAAAGCGGCTTCGTATTCTTCTGTCCACAGAAAGTCTGTGGCTTTTTTCACCAGGTTAAAGAAAGGTTTGCATTTGTCTGAGCTTCTGCTGATGAATCTGTTTAGGGCTGCGGCCCTTCCAGTAAGCATCTGAACCTGTTTTACCGACGTCGGGCTCTGCAGCTCTAGGATGACCTTGATTTGGTCTGGGCTGGCCTCAATGCCCTTTCTCGTTACCAGATACCCTAAAAACTTACCTGATCCAATTCCAAACGCGCACTTTGATGCATTGAGTCGGAGCCGGTATGTTTTGAGTATATCAAAGACCTCTTTTAGGTCGGCAAGATGACCCTTAGATTCCTTGGTCTTCACGACCATGTCATCGATGTAGACTTCTACCGTTTTGCCAATCAGGTGCTTGAACATCTTTGTTACTAACCTTTGGTAAGTTGCTCCTGCGTTTTTCAACCCAAAAAGAATCACTCTGTAGCAGTACAGACCTTTTGGGGTGATAAACGCAGTTTTCTCCTTATTTAGGGAATACATGGCTATCTGATGGTATCCCTTGTAGGTATCCAGGAAGCTCATCCTTCCATGCCCTGAAGTGGCGTCTACCAGCTGGTTAATCTTGGGTAGAGGAAAACTATCTTTAGGATAGGCCTTGTTCAGGCTGGTAAAGTCCACGCAGACCCTCCATTTACCATTCTTCTTCTTCACTACCACTGCGTTTGATAGCCATGTCGGTTAATTTACCTCTCAAATGGCCCTAGCCTCCAGAAGTCTGTCTACTTCCTCTTCCACTGCTTCGATGTGTATCAACGTCGGTCTTCTTGCTCGTTGGATTACGGGTTTTGCCGACTTATCAACATTCAATTTATGGCAAGTGACCTCGGGGTCAATACCAGGCATCTCATAAGGTGTCCAAGCAAACACCTCAATATTTGCTCTCAAAAAAATTTCTAATTCTTTTTTCTCTTCTTCAGCTAAGCCCGAGCCAAGAAGAAAGAAGCGTTCTTCATCCCCCTCTTGGACGAGGATTTTCTTGAGTGCTTCTTCACTCTTTTCGACTGGCTCATTGCCGACATCCTCTAGGACCTCCACGTCCTCGTCTTCGATCTTTGCCTTCTCTGGTTCTCTTATACTGCAGGTGGATTTCATTGCTGCCATGGAGCAGTTCTTTGCCTGCAGCTAATCTTCTCTGACCTCCTCAATCCCATGCTCTATTGGGAACCGTAATAGTTGATGCAAAGTTGAGGGAACAGCCCTCATTGCATGCAACCATGGTCTTCCCAAGATGATGTTATATGGCGAGGGTGTGTCAATCACCATAAATTCTGTCTTGATCCTTTTAGTACCAGCTTGTACTTCCACTCTTGCTGCACCCAGTGGCCATGTCGGCGTTCCATTGAAGCCGACCATAGGGTTGCTGGATTGTTCGAGGTCGTCAGGGTGAAAGCCCAGCTCCTTGTAACATCTGGCGTACATGATGTCACAAAAGCTGCCTTGATCTATCAAGATGCGTTTCACTTGGCATTCCGCAACCTGGAGGGATACTACCAAGGCATCATTATGCGGATGTTGGACCAACTCCAGGTCGGCTTCAGTGAAAGTTATCATCGGTCCTTGGCATTCTTCAGGCCGAGGTCTTTTGTATCTGACCTGGTTCACGTGCTGCAGGTGTTTTACTCTTTGGGTTTCTTCCCGAATATCGCTTTCGTTCACCTTTGAGTGGATTACATTAACCACCCGTGGTCCTCCTGCCTGTGGTTGCTGTGCTGGGGGAGGCGGTGCTTCTGGTGCTTGAGGCAATCTTGCCTGTTCTTCTCTTGTCCTGGCCTCATCAACAAGGTCGCTCAGATGGCCTTGCCTTACTAGGTCTTCTAAGTGTGCTTTAAGGCTCTGCAACCCTGAGTTGGGTGTCCTTCTTCATTATGGTAAGCACAGCGCCTACCAACGTTTCTTCCCATAAATTCCCCTGGTGCTCTTGCCGGTGCCCTGAAATAGGGTTGATTTCGTATTTGGTCCAGGACTTTATGGATAGGGATTCAGAACACCGTCGTCACTGCCTGTTTACCCTTCAATTCTATTTCTTGTTTGGTCGGTCCATTGGTACCTCGGCCTCGCTTCGGCGAGCCGTTTCCCTTCTCCTGCTTCATCTCTTTGTTTCCCGACGTATCTTCCTCGGCTCTAGTGTACTTCTCGATTCTCGCCATGAGTTCCTCCATGCTTTTTGGCAATGTTTTTGCCAAAGACTTCCGTAGTGGGCAGTCATCTTTCAGGCCGTTCTTGAAAGACACGACCGCCACTTCTTGGTTGCATTCGGGTATTCGATTGAACACCTCGTAGTACCTCTTCGCGTAGGCCCTAAGGCCTTCTTCCTTGGTGATTTTTAAAGCCATCAGGGCGTCGACCCTTAAGGGCTGTAATTTGTTCATTACAAACCTGGCCACAAACATCTAGGCCAGGCCTTCCCATGTCTTTACGCTTCCCTTCGGTAGTTTATGGAACCAATCAGATGCAATTTCCCCAAAGGATGAGGGAAATACTTTGCAGAGCAACGACTCGTTCCCACTATATAATGCATTGAGTTCAGGTATAGTCCAACATGAAAGTTGGGATCTGACTTACCATCATAAATTTGGAACCTTGGCATACTGAATCTCTTTGGTGCTTCAAATTTGTCCAGTTCCACCGAGAACGGTGTTCTCGGCTTAACTGGGGATGTCACCTCGGCTTCAACATTCTGCTGCCTCCTTTTGAGGTAATCCCTCAAGTCTTCCTTACTCCTACCTGGAGCTCGGCTATCTCTGGACTTCAATCTTTTTGGCACACTACTTTCGGCCTCGTGGTGGGCCCGTTTCGATCTTTCTCCATGGGTTGTGTCAAAGCAGAGTGCCTGCCCTTGAATATGCCGATGTTCTTTATGCCCTGGATCCTTCATTCGATGTGTCCTTCGGGACTCTTCTTGTCTCGGTTCCTCTCGTCCGCCTTCCCTGGAAGGTCGGTGAGAGTGCCTTCCGCTCCTGGTGTGCTGAGAGACTTCAGGGATTATTCCTCTTCCTCCCTTCTGGGCATGGGTTGCTGGCATCGGTGTATCCTGCAGCGGGTATGGTGGCTGCATGACATTATTTTGCATCATGAAGTTGACAACCGACTGTAGGTCCGCCAACTTGTTTGCCAAGTCTTTTACTTCTTCATCCCTCCGTAGACACCTATCCCTCCATACCTAAAGGTTATCTTCGTTGTAGTACTTGCCTTGGTCTGTTTTCTTTGAAGTGTTGCCCTCCTGGCCGACGTCTTTCTCTTCGTGGCCCTGGCCATGAGTTTCTGTGTTGTGGTTGTCTCCTTCAAAGTCAAGATCAATTGGTCTGCCACTCCCAGCAGGAGTGTCGTCCCCAGTGTTTTCCCTCTGTCCGTCACTGGCCATCTATTTTTCTAAGTTCCCACAGACGGCACCAAATTGTGTGGGTAATTTTCTGACCACACTGCCCGCCTAGTAATCAGCTGGAGAGTACCGGCAGAATAGATGGCTTCAACAGACCTGTAAAAAGAAAAGGCTCCGGCGGTGGCTCTTCCACCCGGGGGCACTCCGACGATCAAGTCAGTATATCTCTCAATGATAATCAAGTGCTAAACTCACAAGCTTGAGTATAAAACTGCGTACCTTAGACTCACGGGGGTGCCTTTCTTTTATAGTTTACTCAATCCAAGTCCCACTAGAAGTCTGACTTCTATGGACTCCAATTCAATGTCAACTTTGGACTCTTCACGAGATAAAGATAAACTCCTTAAGAGCTTTATCCTTATCTTAGCAAAGTCTTCTCTTTTACCTAGGACTCTTGCCCCTTATCTATTTATCCGCCTATCTCGGATTCCGATATCTTCGGAGATCACCTCGGCCTCGCCAAAGATAACCTCGCATAACTACCACGACACGTGGCACCTCGACTGACACGTCGGCGTCACCATGCCACGTGTTGGTATTCAGAAAATACATCCCCACATATTTATATTAAATAGATGGATATATAAACTCAATAAATCATAGTACAGGAGTAACAAATAAAAGGTGCAATAAGACAAACAACTAAGATAAAGACAACAAGAAAAAGACAAAGTGGGTGTTTGGGAAGTTGTTATTTTAGTTTTTGGCTATTTTAATAAGTTAAAATTTTTGTGTTTAGAAAAATAGTTAGATTTTTTATAGTTGGATGTGATATTTATGAGAGAAAAAATATAACGATTATGAATTTAATGTGATATTTTATCTTATTAATTATTTTAATATATTTTGTCTTGTTATGAATTTTAGCCAAAAAAATATCCCACACACCCAACTTGGCAAACCATAAAATAGGTGCAACAATGGGAAAAAGTGATAAAAAGCAATTTATAGCACAGTTTTTAAAACGCAAGTGTTTCTTGTTATATATAATAAATGAAATGATAGGAATGTAATTATTCTAAAAGAATGAGGCAAAATAAAATAGAAAAGGTGGTCCATCTCTTTAACTGATGAAGTCACCTAACAAAAATCAGACAATCACCGAGGCACACAGGTAGCAACAAGGATCCACTAGAGTTTTTTTTTCTTAAAGTTTTCTAGAGTAGTGTATTATGTGGTTGAGATTTAATGACAAGTTACATTAATTTTTTAACATTAAATCTCAACCACACAATATACCATTTTAAGAAACTTTAGGGAAAAAATACTCTAGAGGATCCTTGGTGCACAGGGTAGACCAAATGAGAAGAGTTTGAATCCCCTCCTTGGCTATCCTCTTTCATTTCTTACATGCAACGGCTGAGATCAACCATTGCATATCTAACGGCAATAAAAAAAAATTTAAAAAAATCAAAATTGAAACTTTCATTTTCCCGCCCAAAACAAAACACAGCTTATACAGAGTGTGAATACTCTCACTCAGCCCGCTTCTCCTCCACTGCATCCATCCGCATCAGCGACCCACTCCCGACAACGGCAAGAAATTCTCAGATTTCAATAATCTTCTTGAACTAGTCTTCGTCTTCCTCTTCCAGTCCTTTGTTGATATCACTTCTTTCTCTCAGATTTCGATAATTTGGTAATCTTCTTTCTCCTTCAACTAGTCTTCCTCTTCCAATCCTTTGTTGAGATTTCGGTAATCTTTGAGGCAGCAGACATTTCTGGGGCTGCTTTTGAACTGAGATTTCGGTAATATTTTTTTGACATTTCAGTGGGAATGTCTAGCTTTTAACTGTAGATGTTTATTGTGAATTTGTTAATTTTGGAATCAAAAATTTCGGTAATGTTTTTTTGACATTTCAGTGGGAATGTTTAGCTTTTAACTGTAGATGTTGATTGTGAATCTGTTAATTTTTTACTCAAAAAATATGCATTCTTTGCTAAGCAATGCTATTTAATTTTCTGCTATTTAACATTTTAACACGGTATGCTTTTGTGTTATGGTTTTAAACTCAATATGTAACAAAGACGTTGACAGAAGTTATAGTGTTTCTGTTAATTAAATATCATTCATATATAGTTGTGGTACTGCTGAAATATTGAGATTTTAGTGCAGATTGAAATTAGGGGAAGGCTATTTTTAATTTCTATCAAGTAAAGGTGCTTCATTATGTGATGGGTTTGCTGTTTGGGATTTTGCTTTTAGGCTTATTTAAAAGGCTTAAGATATCTTGGAGCTTCTTGATATGCTTTCCTTAATTCAGGAGTAAAGGAATTGCAGATTAGGTAGAAGATTATGGTTTCCAATTGGTGCCTTTCTAGGTGACTTCATTGGTCACGTGAAGACTGATTGCCTCCGATGCCATTTTGAATTATTCAAAAACTTATTTTATATTAGACATTTATGAAGAATTTATATTTGACCATTTCAGAGTTCTTATTTTTAATTTTTTTTTAGTAGTAACAATGGTCTGAACTATATTAAGAAATTGTCCAAACAAAAAAAACCAAAAACACAACTTAGATTAGAACAAATCTGAAATCTACACAATTAAATAAAAGGCAAGTCCCATGCGTGAGATCCATTTTAGAGATGAAATCTACACAATTAAATAAAAGACAAGTCCCATGCGTGAGATCTATTTTTTATCTCAAATTTGCATTTTCATTACGTAACATTGCTGCTATAAAGAGCTATGAAGGAGAACTTTAGCATCAAATGTTGGGGAAACAAATGCTTGGAACACTTTGTCAGCTTCAAGCTTAGCCAATTCATCCCTTTTCATATTGATCAATGCTTGGATATCATCACTTCTAGTGGGCATGAGAATTTATGTAGTACACCATTTACCCTCTTATCTTAGAACAAACAATTAACATGTTTTAATGCATTTTGCATCAAATGTCAAGTACACAATCGGTGACTCGTGTTAGGCATAACGATGGGTATGGCTTTAGCAATTGCAGCATCTTGATCGGTGAACAAAATTTTTAGTGTCTTTCTTAACATAGCCTCTAGAAAAGCATCAAATGTGACAACATCACCAAATTAGGAATAATCTATGATCATTTGTGCATCAGCCCAAAACATATTCGTTATTTGCTCCTCATTATCTAATTGAAAAGCATAATAATAATAAAATAAAATAAGGATTCAGCAAAGATTTTTCTTTAAAATATTGCAACACATTGCCTACTTTCCCATATGTTAAACTTTGTTGTCTTTTGGTTCTCAAATAATTTGTTTGATCTAATTTCGTAAATCCAAGACATTGCATCTCACCAGCTTCCCTACCCATGAGTTCAAAAGACTGGCCTAAACGAAAACCAGATTGTGCCGCCAAATCTAACTCAATTGCTTGGGTAGCTGATATCTTTTTTTGTGACGGCAACATACGGGCACACTCGGGGTGATACAAGATCATGGTTGTGTTTTTCTTTGAAATCAGTCACAACCAATTTCTCAATACCTTCATCTAATTTAACATAAAGTCAAGCCTCACAACTAGTCCTAGTTTCAGCTCCAGGGTTTTTTGCCAATGGGTCTCGTTTGTCGACCTTCCGAAATCTCTCCTTGTTGAAAACCAAAAGTCTACAAATAAATTGGTTAGTGAGCTTGTTCTTCCTAGAATAATTCCTTCTTATGCTAAATCTCATTCTTCTTCCATATGTATTATAAAAATTATATGCACATTGTTCTGAATCAAATGTCATTCCCTGTTTTGGCTTCCAAGCACAATCAGTCTCAAGTTCCATATCCATATCAAAATGCAACTGAAAACCCATATAAATAAAATCTTAGCTACATAAATAAAATCTTTATTTCACAGACAAAAAAACACAATATTTGCTCCAGAGACAAAAAAAATTCCAGAGACAAACTTAAAAACAACAATTCCTGAGACAACAAATTCCAAAGACAGCATGTAGCTCTTCACGATACCAAATTTTGAAGCTCAAATCAAATACTTAAATAATCTTTCAATGTATGTAAATTTTTAAGCAATTCTTCACAGTTCTTCTGAATGTATGTAAATTTTTTCTTTTTCAATTTTCAACAGAGGAAATCCATATAGGCCTCAATGAATTGAAGCTTAAACACACACACAGTAACAGATTTCCAAAGCATGACACAAAACAATGTCTTTACAAAGCTTAAAGATTAAAAAAAAAATTCCAGAGAAAAAAAAATTCCAGAAAGAAAAACTTAAAGACTAATTTTAGTTTGAAAAAATTCCAAAGACACAAAAAACAGTTCCATCCTTAAACATGAAACTCAAATAATCAATTACAGAGACAGAGACAATGAGGACTAAGCTCTGGTTTGCGAAGTGAGGGCAGACAGAATGAGGGCAAAGCAATGGATTCGGTTTGGGGAGTGGGTCGCTGTAGAGAGGGTCTGCCGGTGCGACGGGTTCGGTGAAGTGGAGAAGAAGAGCCTGACAACTCTGGTTTGCCAAGCAGACAGAATCTGTAATAACGTCGAGAGTGGGTCACCGTCATCGGATCTGTAACGGCGTCGAGAGTGGGTCGCCGCCGGTATTGGGTCGCCAGTGAGAGTGGGTTCAACAAAGGAGAAGGGGTGAGTGTGAGGTTGTGTGAGAGTGAGTCCAAAACAAAATTTGTATAACCTCTATATTACCTGTGTAGCAGTAGGTGGGAAAACTCAAATTTCAATTTTTTTTTTTTATAGTCGTTAGATCTACAACGGCTGATCTCAGTCGTTGCCAGTAGGAAGTCAATGAGGGGATCCAAACTCAAATGAAAAGGTCAAAAAAAGAACCTAATAAAAACAACCTATAGTAAAATCAAAGTGATTCTTAATTGATTTTAACTTAATATATTTAAATTTAAATGTTGAATCAAGTTATTAAACATCACTTTAAATAATTTAATTAATTTATATTTTTAAATAAAATTACTTCATGCCTTGCACGAGCTTTTTTATTAAATAACCCATCAAAAATAGTTTTTGAAAATAGTTTTTAATGATATAATAAATATCTTTCAATTAACAATTTTGATAATTTTAGTGTTGCATAAGAGAAGAGTTAGGAATTTAATTTTTTATATTAATTCTATTAAATTAAAATTTCTAACAAATGGTATTTATAATTTCTAAAACAATAGGGATAATTCATATTTTAAACAAATCTCAAGTGGTATATTTATAATTTATCAAAAGAATAAAAAATTTATGCTTTAAAATTGACCAAGACTCTTTTCATAAGAGTGCTGCTATTAGCACCTGTCAAAATTCTTTGGACCCCCCATTTTATAATTTTTTTTATTACAATTATACCCTAAAGTAAAATTACATTAAAAGACATTATTAAATGGAGCACCCACATATCAATAAGAACTAATACTCTATAATATTGGACACCTACCCCCACCTCCAACTCCAACTATACGTATTCCATGTTTGTAAACCCTAAACCTATTACTTTTCATAACTAACTAATATAAACCCTAAATCTATTATTTTTTATAATCATCTTAAATCATGAATGTGTCATCTTCATCACCATCATCAACACTATTGAACTTGAAAGTTTTGCTTCAAGTATAACGTATACTTCATCACTTATTTCACTGTGTAGAGCAATGGAGGACGATGACAACAATTCTAGTGAGACCGGCGTTCCATTAATAAGTTTATTTGTCTTGTATTAACTCTCGGTCATTTTCGGTCGTTGGAGCTGTTCGGTACTGGTTTGCTGACTGTTAGAATTATGTTCGGTAATACAGTACTGAACATAATCCTTTCGTTCAATACATAGGTTCCGAACATTAATGTAGATAGTCAGTTATATAATTTTCTTTGTTAAACTAACTTAGAATGGAAAAGAGTGAATTGGAATGGATTTAAGTTATGTATTTTGAATGGATTTAATTCATGTTATTTTAAGTTGTGAATTGGAATGGATTCAAGTTACACAGTGATGAACAAATTTTGTTCGGACATATAGTGCGGACAGGATCATTATTGTTCGACAAAACAGTTCTGAACAAAATACATTTTTTCAGCTACATAGTGGTAAACAAATTATTTTGGGCTACATTTAGAATTCTGATGGCGATACATTCAGAATTCTGATGATGATGGATTCTGTGACGCCCTCAAAATAAACCCATAAATCATCTAACAATAGCATGCTCAGACACAAGAAAATAAAGCATAAATATATTCTATCAGAGTAATCATTACAAAATGTATTACATGTTGACAACGAAAGTAAATGCCCTATGGACTTACAACTTTCCAAGTCAACACTTTGTTATAAAAAAAAGAGTACTAACTCTATACAAAGAAAGCCCTTGGCTTGATATACATGTAATATATCAAAAGAAAACAAAACAATAGAAACAGTTTGTCTGTCTCTAACCTCCCAAGCTATGTCCTTGGAGGTGGCATGCTACCTGTACTTGAAAATGATGTCCCATAAAGGGTGAGCCACAGCCCAGTAGAAATATACTAAACCAACTATAAACAATGACTAAAATAATAGCATTCAATAGATGGTTCACACTTGTATTCCAATGTATGTCGTATTACAGTTTCACGACAATCATGCCCATGGCACACTTTAGTTCCCATTTCTTATTCAACTTTGAGTTTGAAAACAAGGCTTAGAACTTAGCCAAATAACTTAATGAGATTTAGAATCATCTTTAAAACACTTTCGAAATTCATGATGGATACACATTTTGGTGCTGTATCAATAACACATAGAGACACCTCTATACTTCACAATTGATAACGATATACATTTTAGTGCTATATCAAATCAATTCAAACACTTCCATAGTCCACACTTGATACACATTGTAGAGCTGTATCAATGTCTCACGAAATCCGGTTTAGAGGTCCATCCCCTATCTTCCCCTAAACTGTGGAATACATCCCCTATCTCTTCCCACACACAATGTATATAAACATAGATCATATACACAATCAGTCAATACATAAAGTTAATGTATTATTCCAACTGCTATACTCGATAGCATACTCAATCGATTAGTTTTAGTTTGCCTAATCATCATGCATTGTCTACAACAATCAAGACTATCCTCCACCGATAGCCCAAAGCAGTTATTTCTAAACAGAAAATAAATGCACCAAATGGATAAAATATCAACATTTCAACTAGGTGAGTGATAAATGATCCAACTACACCCTTTAATCCCATATGTTCCCAATTTCAACATTTTCAATTCAACTTCTCATTTCTCAAAATTAATTTCACAAATTAATTCATCAATGTAATTAGGGCATTTCCCATAATTAACAAAACAACCCTAAGGTTCCATTTCTATCAATAACCCAACACTTATCTCATTTCTCCATGCTAAACATGCATATAGGCTTATATAAATAAAACCCTATCTTTTGTAAAATTACACCAAGACCCAAACTTTCTTAAAATTACCCAACAATCCCCAACATATCAAAATGTTAAAATTTAAAGACAAGGCTCATAAGGAGGAGTAGGATATCCCTACCTCGAAGTTAGAGCTCAAATGGAGAAGAAGACCAAAACCAAAGTGTTCCAAACTCCAAACTTTTCGGATCAAAACGAAGCCCTCGACGATCAACACGGTTTTTACAAAGGCCGAAGGATAGGAGAACACTCTAACTAGATCCAATCCTAGAAAGAAGGGAAATCCTAGAGAGAGAGGCTCTGAAAAGTGTTTTTAGAAAGTAAGAGAGAGAGAGTGAATGTAAAAAGTAATTCAAAAATGCCCAGCTGCCCACTGATATACGACACTTCCGCTCGAGTGGAGAATAGAACGCTCGAGCGTCAAACACAAAAATCTGGACACGCTCGAGCGCAAAAAGGCCCGCTTGAGCTCCAAGACACAAGAGTAAAATACATTCGCTCGAGCGTGAAAATCAGTCCGCTCGAGCATAGATTTCCCCCTCTCAGAACTTTCACAGACAAAGCACTACCCGCTCGAGCACTAACATACCCGCTCGAACGCGACCCGTTCGAGCGTGAAAAACACACCTGCAGAAGTTTTGCAGGGATACGAGATACTGGGAGTGTATAAATCCCGCTCGAGTGGACAACCAAAAACCAAACTCCGCTCGAGCGCCGAATGATCCGCTCGAGCATAACACCAAAAACCTGGGCAACTACACTTGACACCAAAACTCAACCTACCTGTTCAGAACACGCCCAACACATCCTATAACTCAAATACAAAGTACGAAATGATGTAAACAAGATATAAACAACTGCTAACATTCACGGAACCAAGTCTGGATCACTGTATAACGAGGGCTAAAACCCGGAATCGCTATAACTTTGGAAGCGCCGATACAGAAGCAATGGGCGTCCAATACCGCCCACTGTACGCTCATCTTGATGATGATGATGATGATGAATGCAATTGAATTTTTTTATAGGTTTTGATAATAATGGCACACTAAGAATTTGCATATTTGGACTAAAAATTGAACAAGTAGACGATGATGATGAACAGGCCATGGCCATGGCTATTATGTCTTCTTTTCTTTCAGTCACTGTGAACCACCCAACATGCAATAACATCCGAGTATCATCTGTTTTCTTCTTTTCTTTTCATTAGGGTTGTTTTAGGAATTAGATGAAAAATTAGGTAAGTGTGCATTTTATTGTGAAAATGTTATGAATATGGATAGATTTGGTAATAAGTGGGATGTCCAAAAAAATATTATTAAAATTTAGGGTTTAGGGTTGGGGTCCAAAAAAATGGAGGGTCCAAAGAATTTTGGTAAGTGTTATTAGCAACACTCTTTTATAATTACCAACAAAACTTTTATCCAAATTAGTCCCTCCCACAAAAGTTAATGGACAAAATTGAAAGCAAAAAAACAACCCATCAAAATATGCAAGTGACTTCTTATTAAAAAACAAAAAATTTATATTTCAAAATTGGCCAAGACTCTTCCGGTAATTACCAAAAAAAACTTTTATCTAAATTAGTTTCACATACAAGAGTCAAAGGACAAAATTGAAAAGAAAAAACAAGCAACCAATCAAAATATGAACTGATTCATACATAGATAGATACCAACTATCATATAGTCTGTTTGCATAGTTCCGCAGTAGATATTGACACCCCTATATCCACATGACTTTTTCCTACGATTGTGGAAGTTAACTGGTAGTTTCCATGTGAGGTATTCATTTATTGTTTTTCATGATTTAAAATAAATAAATAAAAAACAAAACAAAACAAAAAACGCCTGCGTTATGACAAAGACTTATAAAAGCTCAAACTCACAAATGTCTTGGAGGCATAGGAAAAAAAAATCAAAAAAGGTTAAAAAACATAAAACACTTTCTATTGAATTTAATACATATAAATATATATATATATATATATATATTTACTGCAATCAATCATTTTTTAACTTTTTTTTTATTTTATTTTCAATGCATTTATTTTAATCTTAATTCCAATATTAAATAATGCCTAAGTGGCATTCTTTAGCATTTATTTAACATTTATCTTTTAAATATGGTAAGTCATATACATACACATGACTTCTCTTGAAATAATTAAATACATGATAAATAACAGTATTTGAGAGTTTTTCAGGAGGCCAGATCTACAACTGTAGATTAATTTTTCAAAGCATTATTTCTGAAGATGTATTGCGTTTTTGTTGCTGCGAAAAAAAGCTAAGTCAACTAAAAAAACAATTGTTGCATTTGGGATGCGATAAAAATGCTGCCGTATCAAATTACGTAAATACCCTCTAGATTAACAAATTGTGTAAAATTTCAAAGTTTGACGAAGGTATTTTAGTCATTTTATTTTGATTTGACATCATAAATAAATATTAACAAAAAAAGTCAAAACCCAGCTTTTTACCAACTTCTCAAATCATTTTCTAAAAAGCCAAAAAGCTTGGTAAAAAATCAAAAGTCAACTTTTTACCAACTTCTCAAAACACTTCTGACTACATTATTTCTGATGTATAGTAAAATTTGTATTACTAATACATTTACTTTCTTTCTTTCTTTTTTTTTAAAAAAAACTTTTTTTTCCTTCCCCAAATGTATTAAATAATGCCTTAGTGGCATTCTTTAGCATTTATTTATCATTTATCTTTTAAATATGGTAAGTCATATACATACACATGACTTCTCTTGAAATAATTAAGGGCTTTGCTAGAGAGCTCTGATTAGAGCTGCCCTCAAACAACTCTAATGAGCTGGCATCATTTAAAAAAAAAAAAAAAGAAGGTAAAAGACAAAACATGAGTAGGAAAAAGACAATTTAATGCCTCTTTAGAACTCAACTTTTAGAGCTCTTACTCATTTTTGAATAATTAAATACATGATAAATAACAGTGTTTGAGAGTTTTTCAGGAGGCCAGATCTACAACTGTAGATTAATTTTTCAAAGCATTACTTCTGAAGATGTATTGCACACAGAAAATGACTACATTATTTCTGATGTATAGTAAAATTCGTATTACTAATACATTTTCTTTCTTTCTTTCTTTCTTTTTTAAAAAACTTTTTTTTCCTTCCCCAAATGATGATACAAGTGGTTATGCTTTTTATTTTTAACAGATACAAGTGGTTATTCGAACTATATTAATCTGCAGTTATACATTTCAATTTCAAGGTTGTATTGAATTTGTAATTCACTGCTCTTTCCTTCTTTTTATTTTTGATCGGCTTGTAATTCATTCCTCTTCTGGAAAAGCTTCAAGAAACTTTCTTATTTTGAGTCGTTCATCTTTCATAAGATTACAATTGTCGCCCATAAACCTCTTCTGCAGGGTTGCCGTAATGCTATTTGGATCATCATCGGAGACCTTCCCATAAAAAACAGAACCAAAACAAAAACAAAAAACAAAAATGTGAAACAAAGCTTAGTTGACACAAACTTGACAAAGGTATTATGGTGGAGAAAAAATATAACAAGGATGGGCCCATGAAATCTAGTGGGCCAGACCAAGATAAGGAACCTTCTGATCAAATGAGAAGCCCGATAGAACAGATCGTGGGTCGGGAAGGACAAGCCAACTAAACTTGTGGGAACAGGAAGAACAAAAACTCCGATTAGGGGATTACCGGAGATCAGATGGGATAATATGAGATAAGGTGAGATCGGCAAAAAGGCCGGTCATTTTGCTGATCAAAAGATTGACATTGGGTGACAAGTATTTTCAAGAAAATATTCCACGGGAAACAATGCTCAAATGATGACACACATAAAAAGAGAGGTATGAAGAACATCCTGAACACCATCACTAGATTCCTATCCCATTTCGTTGAATTAAACGCAAATCACACTAACCTGATCATCACAACTCTCACTAGTTGTGCTTTCTTTTAAAAACCTCAAAGGCTCGTGTAGAATCATCTTGCTCTATCCAGTGCGAGGAATTTTTTCCCGCATAGGTAGAATTCGCCATAATTGACCTACTACATGGATCAAAAGAACTTGGGGCGGCAAAAACCCTTTTGTGGGATTGAAAAATGGACATACGATAATACAGATAAAGGAGATTTCAGGAAACGCCACTTCACCCAAGTTAGATTTTTTCTTGCAAGATGTGACAGAACTCCCATTCATCAACCAGAACTATAGCAAGAAGCAAAATTTTTCATGATGAATGATATGGCCTAAGAAGCACGGACACAGATACGTGAAACGATACGGATACGTGGACACGTTAATTTTCAAAAAATACAGGACACAACACGTGGGAGACACGCATGAAATATGTAATTTTATATATTTATTATATGTTATATATATGAATATATCATTCAAAGATAATAAAAAATGTACTATGATACTAATTCCTATAAATTTATATGATTTTTGTTTTATTATTGTATCTTAAGTTGTTTTGTTTAAACTTATAATTAGTTTCACATGTGTCCAATCGATAGACACGCGCGTTTATGCGATTGACACGTGTCCTCCAAGTGTTCAGGTCTTTAAAAAAATTTAAAAAATAGAACACATTTTGAAGAGTGTTGGACACGTGTCATAAGAGTGTCCAAAGAGTGTCGTTGTCCGACACGGACACAACACGGATACGTCACCTTCTTAGAAGTGTCCGTGCTTCTTAGGATATGGCTAGCAGAGCCTGAAATCATGCCTTGGAATCAGTTGGCAATAGTAACTTATTTGGGAAGATGAACATTACCTGGACATAGTTGTTGACATGGCCATCTTTGCTGACAGGAGTTACAAGCTCAGAACTATTGTAGGTCCATTCCCCATCAACAATATACTTGTATTCATAGCATCCTTCCTGTGGAAAAACAAGCCAGCTCATGACCTAGACTCCATTGTTCCAAAAAATGGAAGGGGTAGAGTATTTTTGTTCTTTTGTTCTTTTTTTTTTGTTCTTTCCTCAGGGGGAGGTTTGAAATTTTGACTGCAGTTGGAAGCCATAAAATGTAACAATCTATTTAATAAAAGTACATATTATGGTCTTCCAAATACTAATATAGCACCAAAAAAAAAACAAAGAAGAAGAAGCGGAAGAAGAAACTTTTGACGTTTAAAGAATAGAAAACTCAGCTATAAGGGCAAAAGAGAAGTTCCTAAAGCAAAATAACTTTAGGGTTTAGGTATTGAAGGTGAGGGATAAAATATTTCACCCTTGTAGGGCCAGAAAACAGTCTGTAGTAGTAATAGAAAGTTTTGGACAAATGAAATACGCTTACTGGCAATTCCCTCTGGAGAATCCACAAACCTTGTTCCTTGTCAAATTTCATAGGTGTCCTCTGAGAAGTGTCACATGAGAAAAATTGTTATATCAGCTAGTTTGGAAGCATGAAATCCTAGGTCTGAAAGGTTCACAAGCATAATAATAACTGCAATAAAAATTTGTCACAATTTACATTCATTTATCTATCTAAAACTCAATACCAAAAAACTGTAAGTTGAATAAAGGAATTTTTCAAACGGGTGAAATCATTAAAAGAAAGAAATGTTTACTGCGTGGAATCAATAAGTGACATATCGAGAGAGCCATAATTTCTTATGCTTTCTAAACAAAATTATGCCATGCAGATAATCAGCAGAAAAAATATAACAAAATGCCATTTGGTGGTTTTTCACCAAGTCATGTTTAACAGAGTTTTACCATAAGTATTGAAGCTGCCAAGTATGTAAAAAACCAACCCAACAAACAGAGTTCAGAATCATCAGAATTGAATACCGTTAAGAAGGGATTTAGGAAAATCTCTTCCATGGTACTGGAATCTTCATTAGAAATCAATGCAACATATCCTAACAGCTGGAGTAGCAAGATGGCATATGATCTTTGACACAAGGTTGAAAGTTGAAAATCTCTGAGAGAAATATTTTTTGTATTTTTGAATAGTGTGAACTAGAAATGTGGCAAGACTACGGAAGAAAAAGAGAACGAAGTGCCTGCAAGGCCCAGGCACCAGAGACACTTTCTGTATATTATCAAAACGAATGAAATTATCTTGCACAGATTCTGACCCAGAAAGAACCAATCGAACAGAGCCAGACATGCATGCAAAGATAACCTATGTCGACGTGTACTGGGACTCATTCAAAACACCCTTAAACATGCGTCCAGCAAACTAGTCAAACAAATTAGAACATCAATTGAGCCTTAAATCCTTAGCAGCTTTACTGGTTGTAGGGACAAAAAACCTCATGCTTCTCACGGTGATACCTAGTCATGCTGAACAAGCATTACGATAGAATCAACCAACATATATTAGCTGACCTAAGTAGTTTGAAATCCACTGTAATAGTTAACACGTAATATAAATTATTTCAAATACATAGAAACAAAAATCTGCAGTAATGTGTGTGCACTTCAAGTTAGGTGAAGCCAGTATTGCACTTGTTCTTTAAAAGGTCATTTGTGACTGTCAGCAACTGATACATCAAGTCAAAACCAAGTCTAAATCTTCAGCATTTTACAGGAAACATAAGCAATAAAAAGGGCAAAATTTCATGCTCCAAGACATCAAAAAGTATCAAGAGGCTAAGAAAATTGACCGTTACCTGACCCCACCCAATATCCAGTCCAGAGACCTCGACGGTGGAACAATCGCTACCTTTCCATGTCAAAGTGACAAGCTTCTTTCTTAGGCCTGTAAGCTTTAAATAAGAAGATAGTTCAGGTTTGATAATGCATCAGTTCTCAAACCTACTCTTGAAATTTCCATTTTCTTAAAGAAAAGGGGAAGAAAGGAGAATTTCAGAAATAGCAGAATTACATAGATAACCTGGTTATAAGTTTTTTAAGAAATAAAATGATAAAACAAAATTTTCAGACACATGAAAAGAAGACTAGTCTTCTTAATTAAATTCCAATACAATGCCAGGCTTAGAAAAAAGGTGACTCACAATATCAGCAGTAGCACTTTTTATAGCATCCAGTTTTGGGAAGGATGGGCGCTTGCTCTGCCAGGAAAAAGAAAATCATTGAGTTACTACATAGATGTTTGATTACCATGCTCCTCTTTCTCGAAATTCTAAGGAACAGGGAACTTGTTTAGAAACAATTCCCCCAAAACATTGGCATCAGATTTCTAACACAATGCCATAAAATCATCTTGTAATAGGAGCCACTTGAGAAGATTGGACACATCTAAAAAAAGCCATAGACACTTCTTTGATGTGCCACATTTAGAAGAACTATTCATGTTTTTGAATACTAAGACAATGTTTCTTGGATTTCCTTGTACAACAAAAAGAAAATTATAAAAAAAGTAAAGACAATGGTTTATGCAAATTTATTAAGAACTTCAAAGGTACAAACAAGCATAAGGAAGATATATGAAGGTACTCATAAAAGAAGTGAAGTGAGACATGGCAGGTTTCATGATTACAAATGTTTACGTATGTGTACATAACTATGTAATGCAGGTATCGAATGGTATGTAAGATGCAGCCATGCAGTTATCTGCGTAGTTGTGTAAGCCATGTCCTTGCCATGCCCAGTCCAATTTCATAGAAATCCACCTTGTCAATGTACCCATGTTCCATTGTGTTCATGTCCTAAGTCTATGTCTATGTAGTTTAGATTCCTCCACATTATAACTAATTTCTTTCCTCGGATTCCAAGTGTCCTATTATTCAGAGCACAAGATTCAGTTCCCTCATTCCATGATATGTTTATAGTCCCAAGCAATGAAACTTGCCAATACTAACTTAATAGAGCTTCATCAAATTCAAGAGTTTATTTGTAGGACCACACATGCATAAATTTCAAAAGCATTTTCAAATATAATCACATTTAACATTTAGATAAACAGATGATCAAATTCAAACAAATAGTTGTACTGTATAAATGTGAAGTGATATGATATTTATTCAAAAGAATGAGACAAACTAGATATCTAATTACCAGTAGTACACTGTTGCCTTCGCTTAGCTTGTAGCCTTGAACCCAAAACATGTATGCCAACTGTGATTCATAACGAACATTTATAAAATTCTTTGATGAGAGGGAAATCAATCAAATAACACACAAAAATGTACTTGTTGGGCAATGTAACTAGTAAACCATGTTGCACAAATTAGCTGACAAGATTTCACCACATTATAGAACATATTTCTTGGTAAGTTTCATCTTATCTTATCTTATCATGAACAACAAAAATCATAATCCTTAACAATCTTTAACATTGACACAATAACAATACTTGACAATCTTTAAAAGAATGAAAAGAATTATTTGGCTTACCCATGAATGAGGTAAATATCATGTATATATAATAGCTTTATGATACAATTTAGGAAACGATATAAGGAAACAATACTAAATCAGTGATTGACACGATCACAGATTATATACATAATACTAATAATAAAAAGATTCTACGTACTCTAATTTCTATATTCAACACTCCCCCTCAAGCTAGTGTAAAGATATTCAACAATCGCAGCTTGCCAATGGATGACTGGAAGAAGTCGGAAAAAACTCAACGGCTAGTTCAAATAAATGCTACCAAACAAATCTGGTAGTCCACTAAATAAAAAAGGTCAAAAAGTGCTTAATACATCAGCACTACACCCTAGAAAGGGGAAAAAATAGGGACTGAACTGCCCTAGAAGAGCTGCCAAAGCATCCATGGAACTGACCAAAATCAATGTCTGGATAGTTTACGGGGTCATGCCAGACCGTTGCAGGAACTAACCGGAATCAATATCGGGACAGTTTAAAGGGTCACGTCAGACCGTTGTAGAGACTAACCGAAATCAATGTCGAGACAGTTTAAAGGGGTCATACCGAATTGATGTAGAGAACTGGATGTTGAGCCAGCAAGCGAAGAACATACATAACTTACTGGATGTTGAACCAGCAAGCGAAGCATATACATTACTTATGACGTGGTGATGAACGATGATGGCAACAGATGACTGAGTACGCCAAGGGGCGGCTTATTAGAAAGTGTGTCAAGGCATGGCTTTGGTGGTGCGCTAAAGGGGGCGGTTTTAGTTGTGCGCCAGATGGGCAGCTTGGGTTGTGCACCAGATGGGACGGCTTAGGTGATTCACATGATGTATCACCATAATCATCATGATATAGGTATAATACCTCCCCCTCAAACTCAAATAGGTTTGAAGATAGAAACCTATTTAAGGTTGAAATAGAGGGAAAGACAAAGTGGAACAGAAACACAAACACAAAAAATGGATTGCTAGTAAAAAAAAAAATATGATAAAAGATATTTGGGATAGGAATAAACTAGTGGATAGAGGAAGAGATCACCATGAAGTGATACTGAAAGAAATATGGCAGTGAAATGCGTTGAAGTCTGGCGGGTGGCCACGGCAAGGCTGCCGCCCGCCGGTGACGCAAAATTACTAGGTACTTAACCTAGCTCTGATACCAAAAAGAATGAAACGAATTATTTGGCTTACCTATGAATGAGGTAGAGATCATGTATATATAATAGATTCATAATACAATTTAGGAAACGATATAAATAAGGAAACAATACTAAATTAATGATTGACACAATCACAGATTATATACATAATACTAAAAATAAAAAGATTCTATTTATTCTATTTACTATATTCAACATCTTTAGCATTGACACAATGACAATACTCCACTCAATATAAAGCCGAGTTTTGAATGATTTCATGGCCAAAACATATCAGCTTTGCAGGGAAACAACAATTTTTATAGTAAGTCAAAGTTAGATGGGGGGTGACAAATAAACAAGAAGTCTCAACCAATTCATCTAATAAGAAGCCATAGGTGGTGCTACCAAGTGCAAAAAAGTATCTAAGGTCAAGATGCAAGGTAAAGGCAGATTATGAAGAAGACATTATAGCATCCAGATTGGCCAATTCCCACAGGGCACTCATATAAAATGACATTTGAAAGGGAAAAAAAATGGCATCCTCATCAATTCATGTCACATCCATACACAAAACTGAAAAAACAAAAAAAGAGAGGAGAAGAAAAAGAAGTCCTAGAGATTGAAACTGAACAAAACAAAACCCAAATTAGGTCTGATTTTCAGTTCCTTAATCCGTAACTCATTTCATTCTTTTGAAGAAACACGTAAAACCGTTGAGAGGCTTGAAACAAAAAAGATCATTTAGTTTCCATAAATATGTGTCATATTCTATTGCCAATGTTCTTACTATGTAAAATGCAACAAATCTTGCAGCTTCAATTTTTTTTTTTTTCTCTCTTCATTCTAGATTTTGTTCAAAAGAGGCCACAACTCTGGACCAAAAAGTAAAAACATCATCTATAATTCGTGAGTCCAGATCTCCAGGCAGATGTTGAAATATTTACAAGATCAATCTTCTTTATCCTAGAGATTTAAACGTAAAGATGGCATGTACTGAAGATGACAATAAAGAGTTAAGAAAAAGAAAAACGTTGCTGGAAATTTGTATTAATGCATATAATAAGATAGTGGGTAAGTGGCATATAATGGGTTATAATGATGTTTGTAATATCTCCTATATAAGGAGTGTCATTTGGTCTTGTAAAATAAGAAGTTTTGAATATAACAGAAATATATTCCTTCTTCCTCATATTTTCGGAGTTCTTCTTCCTCATATTTTCTAAGTAACGTTTATAATCATGACTTCAAAAGAATTGCTGCTAAATACTGTAGAAGTGATTACAATCACAAGAACAAGCAAAGAGGGGAGAAAATCTTGCAGGACCCCTATAATATGATACAGCTAAGGAAAAATATAAATAAATAAATAACACTTGGAACAGGTACACATACTGCAACTGCAGGAGCTCTTCCTAGTCCAGCTGTGCAATGTATGTAAGTTACACCCCCATTTTGATTAATGGCCTTGTGTAATTTGCTCACCACAGCTGGAAGACGCATTCGCAAATCAAATCCATCGAAATCCCTGCAACATTAAACATTAGTTTGCAAATATAAAGAGTAGAACTGCACTATGGGGCCAGCATATGCAGGTATGGTAGCCAAATCAATGATCTTGATATGGCGAAGAAAAACTTTAGTTACCAATTAACTCTATTTGATGCTCATTTCAGATTCTTCAGTAAACTAGTTCAAGTAAACTGGGTGGATAATATCATCAAGAGACATCCAATGATTAACATGGACCTATTTTGAACTTTAAAAAGCAAATTTACACAATAAAGCTTAAAAAAATCTCTTTGCCGATGTTCTAGTAAACTGCAAATAGTAAAGAAATTTCAACTGCTATAATGTTTATTTTGATAAAAATATTTATCAGATACAAATATAGGCCAGTTCTTAGGGAGAAAGGTGTAAGGATTATGAATGTAACAACACTTCCACCAGTAGAAAACCACAAAATAAAAGTAATTTATCTCAAATAATCTCAATTGGGTGTAAAGTTGTCTACCTACTACCTCTCCTAGACCCTGTCATAAGGAGCCTTGTGCACCAGGTACGACCTTCATCTAGAATAATCACAATTTTTCTTAACTAACCTTATTGCAGCACGCAAGTGTTGAATGTCATCATATGTGTTGGCATATTCACGAATTGCAGTGATATCAACCCCAAAATATCTGAAAATAACAGTTAAGGACTTAAATAGAACGTATCTCCTGAAGGCAGTCCTGTTCGTTAAAGTTTGCCTCGTACACTCAACTGATATATACAAAATATTAACTAGGTGCAAGAAAGCAATTATCTTGTTTGATCATGAAATAGATAATCTTTTGGATACTCTAGATCTGGATCTTGTTGCAAGCAAAATATAGTTTTCACTCCTACATTGCGAAGCTTGTCAACATCTTCAGGCGTCTGCCATTTTCAATAAAATTAGAAATTAAAAGATGAAAAAAGAACAGAATACATAACAGTCATATACTCAAAGAGAAATTAGGATTACCTGTAGGCATGAGCCCACAATCAGATCTGGACGGATGAAATTGTAGTTCATTCCTAGTTCATGCCTATAGGTCAAGACTGTAATAAAAGAATAAATAGGGAAAGGTTAATCAAAACTACAGACATTGGGGAAAAGAAAAATTCATGAGGAAGCCTTGAAGTAACATCAGCTCATTAAACTTCCCCCCACACCCCAAACACACACAACTCTCTTTGTTGGGGGGACTTTTAGAACTTCATACATGTGTTAGGTGATAAAAGGTGGCACCCGGTGAGACTCAACTCAATCATGGGAATTTGGTTACCCAATGCCTTATCATCTGGCACTGTTACATCTTTGAGTGTTTGCAGGCCTGTCTGCCCATTAAACTAAACTATCCAATTTTTATGTAGTTCACTATTGACAGTGAAGAGCAATGAGAAGAAACTATAGCACCGTGTACAATAAAATGTCAAGTGGCTAGCTTCTATGTTCAATTTAAGTTCTAAGTAATGCTGTCATATTTAGCTAAAAGATTTGATAGTCCAAATCGATATTTATTCCTAGTATGCAACAAAACCTCCAGCTAAATTCCCACCTAAGCATCCCCACGTGTAAACCTGAACTTACAGCATGAATGAACTTACCAGCACCCATAGCTTCAGTCATAGTGTTACTATATATTTCAGATTTTTCCTCGTCAACATTGGCATTGCTCATTTCAGTGCTGGATGTAGAACCAGAAACTGCCTGAAGAAAAAGGAAATTATATACATATAAACCATCTATTAAAAGAGTTTAAAATAATATCTAGCCTCATGATCAATATTTATCTTTTTCTTGATAAACAAAGTAAATTTTATTGAAGAAAACAATGCCAAGGGAGCACCCGCAATCTATCGCTAGTAAACAGTTTGCAACAAACACCATAATACAAATTCAGTTGCAATCATCAGCATACTAATAACTATTAGTGGGTGTATATAGAACATAGAATTGTACATTAGGTGAATTAAAGGCAACATTCTTCCTCTTGGTTTAGAATTATTCTGATTTGGCAACCCCTTCAGAGGTGGCAAGGTTCAGTGTGGTCAATTTAACACTAAGAAGCGTACCTATTTGAGAAAGTTGCACACCATAACAAAACAGGATGAATCTTAGTGATCTGTTGGTTGTGTTACATGTTTTCTGTTTTTGTTTCTAGAAAACAAGAAACATTTTCCCCCCTAAGAGCATCTCCAACACTTCATCAAATTTTTCTTCAAATTTGAGTAAAAATTTGAATTGATATGATGCACTCTAATGGTTTTATCAAATCTGGGCAATCATCCGATCTGGAATAAATTTTCATCAAATTCATTCCAAAACCAGTTGTCTAGGAGAATGTCCGGGCGGACACCTACAAATTTGATGAAAGAATAAATCTCCCCAATTTGATGAAAAAAGTAACTCTCCCTCTATTTGATATCACTTCGATGAAAACGTTGGAGCTCACATTTTAAGACTTTTTCATCAAATTTGAATTTGATGATAGATTTGAATAAACATTGGAGATGGCCTAATAGACTTCAAAGTGGGAATGAACTCCTATTTACTATTCATCTAAAACAAGTGAGAATTAATTTGTCATGTTTTCATTTTGGAGCCTTGTGATGAAAACAATTTTTTTTAAAAAAAAAAAAAGGAAAACAAATGGACGCGCCAAACAGGTTTTGATTAAAACAAATAGATACAAAGACACAAATTAATTGAATGTACTTCAACAATTAAGCAACAAAAGAGAATAAAACAAACAGAAAAACAAATAATGATAATGAAGGAACAAAGCATGTTATGAGAAAAACAAATAGAACAGAACAGAGGAATATTCCACATGATCCAACTGACCAAAGATATTTATGAAAAAAATCTAACAATAAAGCTAAATTGCATTCCAACCTCAATTTACAATACAAATTCATACATAAACGAGTTTCAATATATATATATATGTAATCTGCTCAATGGAATAAACAGAGTAAATTGAAGCTAATAATTAGCAACAAATTAATCTACCGACTCATATAGTACCTTTACGATAACAATAGGGGGAAGATCAGAGGCATTCATCACACCCTGCAAAATAAAAAAATTGAGCCTAACAAATATATACAAACATACATGCATATATATATATATGAATTATAATATGAGTGAAATTTTCAATGACTGAATGAATGAAGTTGAAGTGAGAGTGAGAGTGAGAGTGAGAGTGAGCACTACCAGTGTACTGACACTAGATGAAGACTTTCTTGCATAGGCTTTGAAGCTTTGCAGAGGCAAAGCAGAGGACCTAGGAATGGAAAAACACCAAGAGATTTACAGAGATTGAAGAGTTGTGGTGTGAAATATAGAATTAAACACTACATAAATACTAATCACATACCTTGGGAGAAACTGAAGACAATTCATCTGAACCAAACCAAATCTCAGTGAATCTGAAGTCTCCGATACAGAGAGAGAGAGAGTAGAGAGAGAAACCGAGGAACAAATCTCAAGAATCTAGAAAGAGAGAGAGGGAGATCTTTCTAAAACTTTTGGGTCGCTAACATTTTTCATAGGCAGTGGCTTTAATCGGAAAGGGTCGCCCTTTCCGCAGATCCTCCAAAACGCCATCTACTTTTATTTCCGTTGTCACACCGACGCAATCTAAATAAATATCAGTAACAGGAAGTAAGGGACACAAATGACGGAACACGTATTAGAATACAGATACCGCGGGCGTGTTTGGTTTATATTTTGCGATAAATTTAAAAAAAAAAAAAAACAATTAGGAGGAGAGTTTATGAATTTTTTTAATTTGTTTAGTTGTATATTTTGAAAATAGTTTGAGAAGTTAGAATAATTTGATATTTTTGTTGTAATTAAGTAGATGCGTATGAGAGAATAGGAGCATCTCCAATGGTATTTGTATAATACCATTGCTATAGCTATAATTTGGCAATGAATAGTAGTAATTTGTCAAATTATAACAATGGTACTCCAATGGTACGCATGTTATTTTGGTAGATCCTAACCAACTTTCTTTCTAAATTTGTAGGTGTTGTTTGAATATAAATTTTTTAATAATTTTTTTTGTTTATTTTATCTTTTGTGACCATTGAAAAAAAATTCTAAAAAGATTAAATATTTATATTTTATAAAAAAAAAATTAAAAATGAAAAAATAAATTACTCACTGAGATAAAATCCATTCCAGAACCTTCATACCAAACTCTCAACCCATATGAGATAAAAACCATTCCAGAACCTTCATACTAAACTCTCCACCCATATGAGATAAAACCCGTTGGAAATAAAACCACACTTTCATTCTGCTTTTCTGAGCTTCAAAGGTAGAACAACCTACAACAACCAACCCCATCTCTCTCTCTCTCCCTCCTCAATCTTTCTCTCTTACCACCATGTTGTCTCTTTCCTCTTAATCACTCTATTCCCTAAATCGAATATGAAAAAAATCCTAAATCAAAGATGAAGAAATCCGAAACCCCAAGTCAAACCCTAAGCACGAAAATGAAAACGAAGAATATGAAGATGAAGATGAAGAAGATGAAAACGAATAAGATCAAGCTGAAGTTTCAGAATGCTGAAATTATTTGAAATCTATCAAGCATCTTGAAATCTAGGTATTTATTGTTTAGAATTTGCTTCAAATTTATTCAGATTACTTGAGATTTGCTTGAAATTGTTTGAGATTTATTGAGATTGCTTCAAATTTGTTTGAAATTGCTTGATTGTTGTTGTTTTTAACCTGATTCTGTTTTTTTTTTTTTTTGGTTAATGGTGAATTTTGTTTCCAAAAAAAAAAGGGAAAGAAATTGGCAATTGCCAAGTCGTTTAAAAAATTTGGTGAACGAATTCTGTTTTGTCAACTAAATTTGGAGCCAAAAATCTGTTGATTCTTGATGATGTGGCATGTTTGACAAATGACATTTCTGATGTCAAATTTGGCAACAGAAATGGCATATGCTATGTTTAGCAAGAGAACTAGCATGCCATTTGAGGCCCTTTTTTTTTTCACTTTTGCCAAATTATAGTTTTGGCAGCTCTTTTGACAGTACCATTGGAGATGCTCTAAGTGATTAAGAAAAAAAAAGGAGAGAGAATAAGTAATTGATTAATATGTAAGAGTATCTCCAATGGTTCACCATTGTTTTCATCAAATCTGAGTAAAAAAAAAAAAAAAACAAGTTCCTCAATCTGATATCAGTCGCTCTAATGGTATACTGTAGCTTTCATTAAAAGACAGTGGACATCTGGGAGGACGACCGGCCAGTCGACCGGACAAAGAAAATAAATTTTTTTTTTGATTTTGTGAACTGAATTTTTCACAATGAAGTGTCTATGAGGAGATCTAAAATGGGTGGTTTTTCATAGGTTTCATGAGGTGTGAAGCTGTGAAGTGGCAAAAAGTAAAAAAAAAAAAATAGAGAAAACAGAGGAACCAAAAGGGGTCAAAATTGATTTTGACCAAAAAAAATTGATTTTAATCACGAAAAGTTGGAGTTTTTTCTCAAAAAAATCAGAACAGGAGGTGAAAGAAAGTGCAGAGAGAATTCAAAGCTTTGAACTTTCAACTTTCATTAATGAACCCCATTAAAGAACACTTTGTTTGAAGGGTGATTTGTGGAAAAAGAATTAAAGAAGAAATGAGAGAAGTTTCAGAGAAGAAATTTGGACTCTCAAACTTTATATAGAGAGAGAAAACTCCTCTGTCTCTCTGTCTTGCTTTTTCTTCAATCTCAAGATCTGTAGAGAGAAAGAGAGTATTTTACTGTCACTGTCTCTATTGAAATCTCAATACCTTCACTGAGTTTGTTTCCTCAAAAAAGATACAAAGGTGGTTGACGGAGGGTTGACCGGGGGTTGACTTCTTAGTGTAAATTTTTTATAAAATTTTGCTTCAAGTAGTCATATGGGAGGACATCCGACCGGTCGTCCGATGATCCATATTCAACGGCTCTATACAGTTAATTATTGAAAGGTGCAAGAGATTTTTAGTTTAGTGAAAATTTTTGAAGGTTCTCAATTTGATACTGTTTTGGTGAAATCGTTGGAGTACAAAAAGTACCTCTTTTTCACCAAATATGAATTTGATGATGGATTTGGTAAACTGTTGGAGATGGTCTAATAGACAGATAAGCAATTTTAGATTTTTTTTGAAAAAATTTGTAACCAAACATATTTTTGAAAATTTTCTTCCAAAAATATATTTCAAAACACACACCAAATACATCCTACGTATCTAGACTACTGCCCAGACAAATGATTCAAACTCGTTGATCGGAGCTGTTATGGTATCAATCACGAGTGTCATGATGTCTTTCGGTTATCCGATCGGTCGGCGGAACAATTTGTTATGCGTTTGGTCCACTGTGTGTACCATTACTATATCAGCAATACTAGAACCCTCGTTTAGGAACATTACTTTCTAATTTAAAAATCAAAAAATTATTAAAAAAAATTAAAAAATTAAAAAATTGTATAAAAAGTTAAAAAGATTTCTTTATTTTTCACATTTTTTTTTTGTAAAAAGTTAAAAAGTCATTATAAACATATTAATTATTTTTACTTTATATTTTTATAAAAAAAAATAAAAAATTACTAAAATAGACTGTTTCTAAATGAGACCTTAATAAAAATTAATACAGATTTTTCTAATGAGAGTGTTATCAAAATCAGAAAAGTGAAAGCCATATTTTCTCAAATTTCCCCTCTAAAATATTTTGTCTCATAAATTTAATTTTAAATTTTATTATCTAAAGATTCACACACTAAAATATTGGGAGCTTCTATTTGCACAAACCATTTTCCCACTTACCATACGCGTAATGATATTTTTTTTGTTACATTTTTTTTCTAAAATAAAATTACCAAAATATCCATCTCTTCTTCAACCAAAACCCTAACCCTAATTCCCATCTCCGTCGCCTCTCTTACCCTCTCTGCTGCCTCTCCTACCAGTCCCCCTCTTTTCGAATCGAAGCCCCTCCCCATCCCATCGCTCGTTGCTCACACTCCCTAGTCTCTCTTTTCTCTCGTCGCTCATCACTCGTCGTTCACTTTCTGCCCTCTTCGAACCGAACACATTGATTCGGAAGTACAGTGTCGAACCAATGTGATTTGTTCGGATGTTGAAGGTCGAATCAATGTGTTTTGTTCAGATGTTAATGGTCGAATCGATATGTGATTTTTGACCCTGGTTTAACGAATGACAGGTGTGTCGCGATGGTAGGTCGCCGCTGCAATGGTGGTAGTAGCAGGGACGAGGGGTGGTTGGCAGAGGGGTTAGACGGGTGTGTGGGCTGCGATGGTGGGTGGAGGGAACGGTGGAGTGATGACTGGAAGTGGTGACTGCGACCATGGTGTCGTCGACGGTGGCTAGTTTAGGGTTAGGATTTGGAGAATGAAAAATGTAAAGGAAGGTGGGTGAACTGAGTGTGTTAGAAAGTTGTGTGTGTACGATTTAGATACGAGAGTATAATTGGAATAATAGTGTATAATGAGTAAATTTTCTATTTTTTATTTATTTTTTTGTGTGTGAACTAAGAAGGATGTGTATAGAAAGGAAGTAGTGTGTATAAATAGAAACTCCCAAAATATTTTGTCCATAACAACAAACACTTAGGAAAAGACCAAACTACCCTCACGTTTGTATATTGTTCTCGTCTGTCTCTCACCCTCATATCTCAAATCAATCTATCTCTCTCTCTCTCCCTCCCCTCAATCCGCACCGTACGAAGCCACACCGCCATCCGCTCCACTGCGTCGTTCACCTCGTTGGGATCTGTCAATGGCGCCGGAAGGCGATCTCAGATCTGAGAAACGAAATCCCTCCGGTTGGTCAATCGCCGTCGATCTCCAGATCTGTCAATGGCGCCGGAAGGCGATCTCAGATCTGAGAAACGAAATCCCTCCGGTTGGTCAATCGCCGTCGATCTCCACCATTTCCACGACTCCGAATGAGCAAACATGCCTCCTCTCCTTTGATCTCTCTCTGTATCCTCAAGTTCCACCGTCCGAAACCACACAGCCGTCCTCCACCTCGCTGGGATCCGTCAATGGCGCCAGATTCGTCGTCCGCCGCTGCTCTCCGTTGCGTCTTCAGATCTCTCACATCCATTGCTTCTCTCTCTATCTCACACTCCTCTCCTCTCCTCTCTTTTTGCTCCGGCGAGTGTCTACGAAGAGGAATCTGCGGAGGACGGCGGTGGTTGGGCAGGAGGAGGAGGAATCTGTTGTTGATTTTTATAGATCTGTTACGATTTTATTGATTACTGTTTTATTGATTCAGAATTGTTTGTAGATGTCAGATGCTTAAGATGAAATCTGCTTCTATGATTTTGATTTTTGATTTTGTTGTTCTTCAGATCTAATTTTGGTATCTATATATTTGTATATATATTTTTGATAAAATAAATCTTTATATATATACACACACCTATGTATTAATCTTACTTTTTTTCAATCATCGTTGTACAGAGACATTTGTAATCTGACCTTTCTATATTTTCAATCATCGTTTTATACTGATTCTTCTTCAACTACTACTCTTGTTGTTTAGCTGGGTTTCATAAATGGTTGCACATGAAACCCCAACTGTAATTCAACTACCACTCTTGTTGTCTAGCTGGGTTTCATAAATGGTTGCACATGAAACCCCAACTGTAATTAATAATTTGTGTTGGACCTTTAATGGAACAGATAATTCATGTGATATCTTTGTTTGGTTGGATATGATCTGATCCGATCCGATCCAGGGGGATTGTTTGGATCTGATGTGTGTTTGGTTGAAAAGATAATTTTTCTATCCTGTCTAATTTGCGCAATTAAGGGATGTTTGGGGTGTCTTACATAAGTGTATTTTTTGTCTTTTTAGACTAAAAAATTGAGGAAGAAAATATGAATGTTTGGGTTAATTTTTTGACTTTTTACGGAAAAATGTGTAATAAAAAATTGTAAAAATTGATTTGTAGGGAAACTAATGTGTAGGAAAAAATTAGAATTGAGAGTTGTGTAGTCGTAATTGTTGATTTTTGATGAATAGTGTTAATTTTTTAATTTTTTGATTTTTTTTGTAATATGCCAAACTTGTCCTAAGTTTTTTTTTTTTTTAGTGCACTGTGTTGTTTTTTTGTATTTAATGACAAATATAGATAATGAGAAATGGACAGATAAAAATAAATAAATAAATAATTGAACAGATAAAAAATATTGAGCAAATATAAAATTGAACAGATAATGTACTTCAACAGATGAGAACAAGAGAAACACAGAATTTGTAAAAGATAGAGAGAGAAACCCACATAATTTGAATAGATAGGGTAAAAAATTGAATAGATAGTCCATGAAAAATCAAACTGACAAAAAAAGTCAAATGAGAAAATTGAAAACAAAATGTCTTACCAATTTCTTATCAAACTATTTCAGAAAACGTGGATTTGTTGTGGGGTGACTGATGTGCAGGAGACATAACAGTCTCTACAGTGTAGCGAAATGGGCTCATTTTGGAGTCCATTTTGATAATCTTACATTTTAGAATACATCATGTAGAACATGTCTAAAAAAAATCAAGTCAATCGGATATCATTTATTCATTCATCCATTCACATTTGAATTTACAAAAATAACTAATAATTGTGATTTAAAGTATTAAAATGAATATAAATGTGAGTCGATGAAAGGGTTAACGATATCTGATTAATTTAATTTTTTACAGGTATGTTTTATTTGATATATTTTAAAATGTAAACGATTCGGATTATTGAAATGGACCCATTTCACTACACAGCAGTGGCTGCTGTGCTCCCCCAACACCCACGTGGACCTCTCACTAACAACAAATATCTCATGGATCTAATGCCTAACTCTAAATTGAATTTATCATTAATTTTTTTAGTTTTTTATTTAATTTAAATTATTTATCCACAAGTTATAAGAGAGATTACATTAAATACGGACAAATATTTTTAATCAATTTTAATTTTTTTTTTAAAGTATTTGAAGAGACAAAATATTCAGTGTCAATTAGTAAATAGAATAAGAAATTAACAAAAAATTTATATACAAAATCTGACTACTCCAGAGTAATATTGGTGACATTTTTTAAATATCAAATTACTTTAATGAGTAATAACACGAATTTGTTATTTTGTGTATAATTCCCAATTAGATCAAATTTGCTTTTAAATATTAAATAGATCAAATTTGTTTTTAAATATTAAATCCAATTGTTTTATGTGGCACCTGTACTATAATTGTTATGAATTTCATTTTAAATATTAAAATTTCATTTAGGGATTAATCTAAACTATTGTCATTTTTTTTTTATTTCATCCATAAATTATTAATTTTATTTATTTAATCTTAAAAATTTATAATTTCACCTCATTTGATCTAATTATAAAATTTATATATAGTCACCAAATACATTTACATTAATTGAATTGTATTATCAAATACCACATCAGGTTGCATGAATTTATGTTGGGTATGTAATCATAAATCACCTTTCAAATTTTCAAACAATAAAATTATGGGGACCAGGAATTCCCTCCCTCAAATACACTTTTCCTTTAAAAATAAATAAAATAAACTACATGTTAATGGCCCAACAATGGCTGGTCAATAAAAAAAAGCCTTGCAAACTGATGGCCAATCTAAACTCCAATAACTACCGACTGATGAATACAACAGCTCCTCACATATCTAATGGTCCAAATGCACTCCACATATTTTGATCATCAGACTGTGGGTCTCCTAATATAGCTTCAATCTTTGGTCTTGCAGCTTGATCTCTCCCAAGGGGGAAGTTCCAAAATGAATCAGAATTCTCAAAGATTATGTAAAATGCAACCACCGATGCCAAAAACAATCCCAAAAGAAGCAAATATATCTGCCACTCTGCACATGAGAAGAGGGAGAAAAACAAATCAGCCTCAAACAGCAAACACAGAGAGAGAGAGAGAGAAAGAGAGAGAGAGAGAGAGACCTTTCCAATCTGCAGCAACATTTAGCTTAGTCACCATAGCTCCCCATTCTTTAGAAGTAGTGAGCACAACCCTGCAGAATTCACGCCCACCCGCAATTGATAAAATGGGAAATAAAATTTACAAACTTTTCTTATTCACATAATGGAACTTTGGTATATGAAACATGACATACTAGAATAATATAGGCTTCGTTTGAAAAGTGAGTTGATTTTTTGACTTTTTTAGCTATTTTAACTTGGGACTAAAAAGCCTAGTTTGGAAAAGACTTTTGGCTTTTTTAGATTTTTTGACTTTTTTTGTGAGATAAAGAATGTAATAATTACAGATTAGATGTGATGTTTTGTCTTATTGGACTAAAAAACCTATTTTGTTTTTTGTGACTATTTTAGCCAAAAAAACTCCAAACCTCTCTTCCCAAACGGAGCCCAAAGACACGTGATTGACAAAAAAATTTGTAAAATTCAATTTTCTTATTCAATTTCTTTACCATCTTTTCCATTTCACCCACCCACTCATCCAACCCAACAAATGACTTTAGTTTTGAAAGTGAAATACATTTATTTCTTTTCTCCTTGATTACAATTGCTACACTAAATACATTTATTTCTTTTCTCCTTGATTACAATTGCTACACTCTTTGACTAAGGAGTCCTCACAAGTGACGTGTTTTAAATACAAAATGCGAAATAAAACATGAATGAGTGTGTTTGGTTTGAGTTTTTGGTTTAAGTTTTTTAAAAATTGAGTTTTTTGTTTTTTGTGTTTTTTTGTTTTTAGTGAAGATTTTTAAAATTTTCAGTATTTTTTTTTTACTTTTTTAGATGCAACTTACTTAGATGCATCTAAAAAGTAAAAAATTTATAAAAAAATTAATAAATACATAATAATACTAAAAATATACTGAATTCTCGTATTTTTTTTTTTTGTATTTTTGGTATTTAGTAAATTTTCAAAAGATTTTTTTTTTTACAAAAATTATACTTTTTCTGTGTATTTATGTTAGATGTGTCTAAAAATTAAAAAAAAAAATTGCTTAAAATATTAAAAAAATTCAATAAAAACAAAAAAAAAACATGAAAAACAAGAAAGTAGAATTTTCTGAAAATTGTTTAGCAAAGTCATTCATATTTTTTTACTGATAGTAATAATTACAGTAAGTTATAGTTTAATTGATACCTTTCACTAGGAGAGAACTCAAGTGACTCAATGCATGAGCCTGAGTGCAGCCTCTTGCTCCAGTGGCAGATCTCCATTTTTTTTACTTCAACTACACATATATCCCCATCTTTGCTTCCTCTGAATGAAGAAAAAATTACATGAGTTGAACCAATACCACAAACCCAAGGACCAGCCTAGCACACTATTGTAACAAGTTAGAAAACATTGTAAAAAATTTACAACTGACGTCATCAAACACTATTACTACAATGTGAAGTCCTTGGATCCAAGGCAAAATAAATAGGCAGTCATTACTTCAACAACACAGTTCGGCTACTTGGAAATCAGTTCCTCTACTCGGACTGGCCTTGATCTTGGCACACCACATAACCAATACATGCCACCAAAGTGTTTTATTTTGAGGAAAACACATATGTAAGCAATGTAATAGCCACAGATGAACACCAAAGTAACCACAAACTATACAGAAAAAAATAACCTTTTAAACAAACCCCTTAATCATGCATCGGAGGACATTAAGTAAATTTCAATGATCAAATTGCATAAAGACAACCATAATGACACAAAAGTTTACAAAGGAAGCACATTTTTAAAATTCATAGTTGCAGATAATCTCTTAACCAGGAATATATCGACAATGCGTTGCTCCATATCTATAGGTTACTTTACAAATACAACACATTTTCAGCGTTACAGATAACCATTGAATGTATATTGCAAGCAAATTGAAATCCATATCAAATGAAAATAAATTAGTAGACAGCACATTTAGGTAGAAGACTATGAATAACAAATTCATTTAAAAGAACTTAGGGGAGAAGGTGGAATTTTATCTGTACTATGTAATCAAAGTAACAAGCAAAACAGTCAATTTTTAAAAAATGTAAGGCTCATGGCAAGTTATATGCCACGAGTCATAAATATTACATTCCACATAAGAAGTTCAATTACGTAAAGTAGAAATACTTATTCTTCCATCTCGTTCTACGAACTGCAGTCTATGCAAAGTAGCATATTTAATGAAAAAAAAGAAAATGCACAGAAGAAATGAAGAGCACTTACAGAGCAAGATATTTCCCATCAAGACTGATGGACATTATTGACGCAGGTTTTCTAAGTAGTCTCTTGTGCCCAATTCTGTTCCATGTACTCATGTCCCAAACAGCAGTGACTGCTCTACTAGCTAGACAAGCATACCTCACAGTTAAAATTTTCGTATGGTACAAGGCATTGGGCACATTATAAAAAATAAAATTTTAAAATTTTTAAAAAAAGGCTCAAAAAGTAAATGTAGTTGAAATGAGGATCTTGAAATGGATGAGTGGAACAAGAAAGGGGGAAAACAAAGAATGAAATTGTGGAAAATTAGAAGTGGTACCAATTGATGTTAAAATGGGAAAAAGTAATTTTAGGTGGTACACCAAGTAACACTCATAAGAACGAGTGATATGATCTAGGTTGAAAGTAACGAAAGGACATGAGTTGAGGCCGTGTAAAAGGACATTGGTAATTAGTTGGGATAAGGGCTCTGTTGAGTTGATTGATACATGCCCCAACAGAAATTGATTAAACACTGAATCTTGAACCTCTGTATTTACAGATGAATACCTTTTTGAACGGTGCAAAACAGAAACGGTTTCGTCCCATCCTTGGAAAACCGACATAGTTCTATCTTCTCATCCTGCAGCACAGAAAAAAAGATGATACAACATCAAGTCTAGATGCCACAAAGGAGAATAAAAAATAGTGGTACCACTAAACATTGTTAGATTAAATGAACTATACCGGGTTACGAGTTAAAGAAGTCAATGGAACACCATCATTTGTCTTCCATATCCTTGCAGAACCATCAGTAGACGTTGTAGCTAAGAACTCTGAGTCTAGGCTGTAAAAATAATTAAGAAGCTAAACAGTTAAGCACAAACTTTTACAATGTTTCAAAATGTTACGGAACTGTCACATTTAAAAATTATTTTACAAACTGCATGTATAAATGTGGATCTCTACTATTGCAAACCTTTAAGCCACACTTTTGCATTTCAAATGCATTCGTCTACATATGGATAAATACATTACAGATGTGCACACCAACAGTGTAAACATATTATTATGCATGAAATATCACATAATAAGGAACAAGTAAGCTAAATTCCAACCTAAAATCCATATCTTGGAAGGAATTGTGAGCTCTTGGTTCATCTAAAATGATGCGCAGGGTTGGCCATTCAAAGATTCTGAGATGTCCATCCTAAATTTAATTAAGGAACTGAATCAGAATACAGAAGTGAACTTGCAGACAATAACTACTCATCAGACTGGGTTATGGCTTACCACCCCACCACTAGCAAATCTAGATCCATCGACACTAAAAGCTAACTTCTGCAAGCCAGCACCTTGGAGGTGAACTAATTCTTTGGCCACCAGTTTAATATTTGCTTCTTGGCCATCCAACTCGTACCATCTGCACATAACAGCAAACATTTCTTCCTATTTATAGACCAGCCAAAGAAATGGAAGTCATGATGATAATACAACCAAAAAATTACTTTAGGAAGATTTATGCCTGAATAATCTGATGAATGAACTCCCAGAAAAAATAACATCAACACCACCTCCACGGACAAAAAAAGGGGAAAGGAAAAGGAAAAGGAAAATCAACCGACTGTAATGGCAAGTGAAACTAGCAATTAACAAATTAAACATCCTTCAAGTTTTTAACACCAACAATTTTTTTGAAGGCCATTAAAAATGCGTTTAAGAGATAAAATAATACAATATTTGTGCATGTTGATAGCTGGATTTGAACTCCCGGAGAGCCATTGGCTGCCCACACTTTCAGAACAATTAGAAGATTGCACAAATATGAGCATGCTATGAAAATGCAGACAATGATCAAATTAAGCCGAGCGGCAGAAAATCACTATGCCAATTATACTGGCAAGTAACGATTACTAACTTGGATTTCGACAAGGACACCAAATTGGGGAAAAAGTAAATTTTAAAAATAAATAATTACATGAATGGTCCCAAACCATGTGTTATGTTACACTATAGTCTCTAATCTTTTAATTGTTCAATTTTGGTGCACAAATTTTGCAATATGTTTCACTTTAGTCGTGAACATTAGCACAGTTCAAAATCAATAACTAAGTTGGGGTATTTTCATAATTTTACAAAAAAAAAAGAAGTATAAAATGAAAAGATTAAGAACAAAAAATGCACCCAAAAAAATGCATATTTTAGGAACCAAAATGCAACAAATGCATGCTATGTAAAATTTCAAAAAAAAACCCTTTCCGTTAATATTTTGGGTAAATTACCATTAGGGCCTAATAATTGAACTTAATTTCCATAAAGTCCTAGTAAAATCGTCGTTAAAAATTGATGGGCATGGCCCATATGGCCTAAGATAGCCCAACCCAAAACTGCCTTGGGTAGCCCAAACAGGCATTTAGTTAGTTACAGCCTAGTAGATGAAACTCTACAGCAGGCCCACCAAGGAACCCACGTTGATCCAGATCCTGTGACACTTAGACATCTGTCGGGCGGAGAGTTAACCACGTGGCAGACAAAGATCCTGCAGAGTTCTTGAGCCCAGGCATCAAGCATTAAATGAGGCTGTTATGGCATTAAATGCAACAAGACCTCTCGCCCTCGAGTATGGTGAAATTGCCATGGCTGACGACAAGTAGATCGTAGACTTTCGGCCAATAAGACAGTTTGAATGGACAAAGAAATGATTAGTAAGAGATATAAAGAAGCTTGTGAAAAGGATTAGCAAAACAAGTAACCCCCTCTCTACTCTCTTTCTCTCTACTTCATCTAACACTTCTAAGCTAACTTGATCGTCAGAGTGTCTACGGAGAGTAACCGCTCCAATCTCGGTGCCTCCTCACTGGACCTTTCGCAGGTATGCAGTAAGAGGGCGAGGGCTAAGGCTAGCAGACCCCGTGGAACGCGTGGATTAGTCTGACCCATCCTCCATTGACAACATTGAATTATCTAAAATAATATTTTTGTGATGATTTTTTTTGCACATGTGGCTAAAAATTGACAATTAGTAACTTTCTTTTGTCACAATTTTTATAAATTGTCGATAAAACTTACACTAAGTGATGTTTTTCTGTAACAAATTTTTCAAACTATCCTTGAAAGTTAAAAATTAATGACTTTTTTGTGACGGTTTTTATAAATTATCGTTAAAACTTATAATTAGGGACATTTTTTTTGTGACACATATTTTAAACTGTTGCTGAAAATTAACAATTAGAGAAATTTTTAATAGTATTTGATAAAAAAATACCATTAATTCGCACATGACCTATTTGATAATAAACAAATCTACTATTAGAACCTATTACAAACTTTAGAAAACTAGTAAAATAATTAAAAATTTAGGGACTAAATTGTAACAATATTTAGGATAGTAATTATTTACCAAAAATAAATATGAGAGAGAGAGAGAGACGGACTTGCAGCCAGCAGTAGTGGTAGAGCAAATGAAGTCGTCTCCGCTGGGGTGCACAACGATACTCACAGGGTCGCCTTCTTCAATCACATATGTATCCTATTGAAGAAGAATTGAGACGCAAGTATTATTGAGTATAGATTATTAATAAAGGAAACACACACACATTTATTTACATATACATATATGTATCTATTATGTGTGTGTGAAAGAGAAGAAGGGAGAGAAGTGGAGCAGAGACCAATGGAGAGGAAGAGAGAGAAGAGGACTTGGAATCGAAGGAGAAGATCTGGAGTTGCGACGGCTGATCGCGATGCTGCCTCGCCTTCCCCACCACCGCCAGATGCGCGTTTTCCGGCCGCCGGATCCACGATGCGCACGCTACTGTCCCCTCCCTCCTCCACCTGCTCTCCATCTTCCTATCCTATCTACACTAGTTTATGTACCTAGACACAGAGCGAGAGAGAGAGAGAGAAAGAGAGAGAGAGTTGTTGGAGACGAAACAGAAGTCGCGGAATGTGTTTGATGTGGAGTTCAAGTCGTAGTTTAAAACTGAGGGGAGAGAAGCCGATGCTTTTTTCTTTTTTCTATTGGCCAATGTTAGGTATGGTGAAAAAATTTTCATCAAAATGATTATGAAAGATTTATGACCTTTGGATTACACTTAAAATAAAACACCACACACTAATCAAGGTAATCCAAGAGTCCACCTGCTCTCCATCTTCCTATCCTATCTACACTAGTTTATGTACCTAGACACAGAGCGAGAGAGAGAGAGAGAGAGAGAGAGAGAGAGAGTTGCTGGAGACGAAACAGAAGTCGCGGAATGTGTTTGATGTGGAGTTCAAGTCGTAGTTTAAAATTGAGGGGAGAGAAGCCGATGCTTTTTTCTTCTTTCTATTTATTCTTGGGATTTTTATTGATAAGTACAATTTAAAAGTGTTTTAACTCAAGAAATTTGTGAAGAAATTTTTTAACTCATTTAGTCCTGTGTATGTATAGTTTTATTTCATAAAATCTATTTTCTTGATTTACACTATTTTCTTGGACACTTATGCCCTTATATTTAATTTTGATACCCTTATAAATATTTTTTCAACGATTAGCAATTTAATGATGTAAATATTCATATTTTAAAATTCACATTTATAAGAATGTAAATTAACCCGTGGACAGCCCGCGAGCCAGGGCGGGCCTGGGCCGTTGACAATGTGAATATTCACATTGACATGTTAAAATTCACATTAATAGGAGTGTAAAATTGGCCCCCGTCCCGTGGCGGTGCGAAACCCACTCGCGGTCCATGGACGGCCCGGGCCGGGCCCGGTCCAGCCCGTTGACAATGTGAATATTCACATTGACATGTTAACATTCATATTGATAAAAGTATAAAATTAGGCCGCGGCCCATGGGTGGCCAAAAGCCCGCCCGCAGCCCGGGCGCGGGCCCTGCCCGGCCTGTTGACAATGTGAATATTCACATTGACATGTTAACATTCACATTGATAGGAGTGTAAAATTAGCCCGCGCCTCGTAGTTGCCCGAAACCCGTCCACGGCCCGTGGGCGGGCCCGGCCCGGCCTGTTGACAATGTGAATGTTCACATTGACATGTTAATATTCACATTGATAAGAGTATAAAACTAGACAGCAGCCCAAGGCGGGCTTGACTCGATATCCCTCGGCCCGTTGACAATGTGAATATTCACATTAACATCTACAGCTAAGCTGACAAACCTCGCAAGCAAGCTCATTCAATGAAAGCTTACTTCTAATTGATATATTTGCTACCAGTTTGGATCATGTCAACCCATCAAGAACCATTAATCCAAGAATTGTCTATGACCTTGAACACAATGATTACATACCTTACTTATGCAATCTAAACTACACTGTCCAAGACATCAATTTCAAGACAAATCATATAATGAAGTGCTCAAAAGTATCCAAAATACTAGAAGCATAGCTAAATTATCCTTCGTTTTTTATTACTCTTGGTTGAAAATGATCAGACCCGTTGATAATGCAAATATTCACATTGACATGTTAACATTCAGATTGACAAGAGTATAAAATTAGTCCACGCCCCGTGGCTGCCCGAAACTAGACCACGGCCCGTGGGCAGCCCGGGGCGGGCCTGACCCGGCCTGTTGACAATGTGAATATTCACATTGACATGTTAAAATTCACATTAATAGGAGTGTAAAATTGGCCCCCGTCCCGTGGTGGCGCGAAACCCGCTCGTGGCCCATGGGCGGCCCGGGGCGGGCCCGGTCCTTAACTTGCTTTCCAGTCGCCTGGCGTGTGAGTCTCTCCGCCGGTGACCGTCTGGACTCCGTGAATGCCCATGACTCCTTCCGCGCTTATCCCGCGCGTCTCCTGACTGTCCTCCAGTGGGCGTCCCCAAGTCAGCCATTGGATGGACGGCAGGTGGTCCCTCTCTCCTTCGGGTATACTCCGGGGTGGCTCCATCGATGGCGGACAACGGGAACTCGTCGTTGTTCGCCATGGAAGGCGATCAGATGAACCTGGAAGACAAGGTTTTGTCTGTCAAGCTTCCCACAGACGGCGCCAATTGTACGGGGAGCAAATATTTCGGCAAGCCCGTACTCCTTTCTTCCGAGCTCCGTCGATGTCCGATCACCTGCGAGTCAATAAGGATGAGCTACCCGGCGGTGTGTGGCCGGAAAAACCCTTCGACGGTCAAGTTAGCACACACCTTAGAGGGAATAGAGAGAAGGGAGAGAGTGTTTGAGTGTAAGGATTTTCTTACAGAGTGTTCGTCTGTCACGTATGGGGGGCGCAGACATGCTTACATACCTTCTGTGCCCCATATCCACTCCCTGTCATCTCCTGACACGTGGCTCTGCTATCCCATCTGTCAGCATAAACCATGCCGTTCATCACCTGCTCTCAACTGCCTGCCAGCATAGCTGGAGCTCGGCAGCCGAGCTGCCCTACCTCGGTCATACCATGCTTCATACCTTAAGCGCCTGATCGGATAACAGAATGAAGGACCGGGCTAGGCGGCATCTCGGCAAAGCTTAGCCCGGGCTCCTCCTTTGGTCGGTCTTCTCGCCGGTCAGTCAACTACCTCGGCTGACCGTGCCTTTCCGAGCGCCTGCCTCTCGGTCTGTCTGGTCTCGACAATCCTCGGACCGAGCATCCCGGTCTGACCGGTCACTTCCTGGCCGAGCATCTTCTGCACGGTTCGGGGCAGCACACAGTCCAAACTCTGCCCGGCCCAAGTTCTGGTAGCCCATCTCCGGGTGAACAGTCGATCATCTCGGCCCAATGCTCTGCTGGGCCCTCAACCTGTTCGGTTTATACCTCGGCCCAACGCCGGAGCATAAATCACCCTCTCAATAGTTAATTAAAAAAATAAAATTCATAATTATTGTCTTATACAATAATAAAATTATCTAAATTATTGATTAAAACATATTTCTAACATTATTAAAAACTATTAATTGATTTCATGATTTATTAATAAAATAAACGATTTGTTATAAAATTAGAAATATTAAAGAGTGAAATGTAATTTCCAAAATTAAAAGAGATAATTCATATTTTAATCAAATTTCAGTAAAGGCGAATTTATAATTTACCCTTTATTTATTTAGGGAATTTTTTTTAAAATAAAATTTCAGTCACCTCGAAGGTTGTTTGGGTGCACTACAAAATTGTATTTATTTATCTTTTTATTTTTTTTGAGTCATATCATTTTTTTTATTTTTTTACATATTTTTTTTATAAAAATTCAAAAAATGTACTTATATAGATCATCTCAAATAAATATTAAAATTTAAATTTTATAAATTTAAATTTATTATTTTAATTTAAATTAAGGCAAATTACAGCAGTGATCTATGTAGTTTACCCGTTGTTGCATTTTGGTCAATGACTTCCAATTTCATCAATTTTTCCCTTGCAGTTTGGATTTTGGCTCTATGTGGTTCAATAGTTAACAGTTGTTAGGTTTTTGGATGGATACCCCACGCTTGCCTTGTATGTACAGGACTTGCAAGGGCAAGGTTGTCATTTCAACATCCCCCACCAATTTTTCCGTCCGAATAAACAGCCCACGTTATCTATGTAAACAAATTGGGGATTAGGGTTAGGAAAGGGGTCAAGGAAGGGAATACAACAAATTGGTCAGAGCTGAGTCACGAAATCAGAGGATTGTGAAAGAAATCTGAGAAGTGAATCAAATCCATTAAAGAGTAGGAAAGCAACAAACCAAACCGATGGCTCCGAGATAGGCTTTATCTGGGAGCCCTCAATATGGTATTTTTTTGACCAACATTTGTTTGTTTATGTATATTGTCTTCTTTAGTTTTGTAATGTTTGATAGTGGTTTGATGGTGATTTATGTATATATATATATAGGGTATTTATATTTAGATTCACTTTTTTCCCTTTTTTTTTTAAAAGCAATTTGAGCTCCATACTTTCATAAGATAATGTATATATGTTGTTTTTTGTGTTTTATTTTCTCTTTTGTTGACACTGGTTCCCACAAGAATAGATACACACATGGAGAATGGGGAACATTTGTATGTAATCCAAATAGCTTATGTGTTGGGGGGAAAGAAACATACTTTGACTACTGGAAAGCTAATTACATAAGTATGTTATACATAGAGAATTACAAGATGCCTAATGAAGATCTTACTAGTGGGTTAGTCAACGTAAAGAATGACAATGAGGTGGTGACAATGCTGAAATTCTTGAATAGAAATAGGCACATTGGTTTCTATTTGGAACACCATCCTGAAACACAACCTAGTTCAATACTGATTGATGACATTGATGAGTTATTTGGAGTTTGTCGATGAGTTTCATAGGTATATGGATGTAGTAGAAGCTCAGTTCCGAAATGATAGTGGTAGAGAAGTTGAGTTAGAGCAAGCTTAGAGTGTACCAGAAGTTGATGATTTGTTTGATGGTGGATATGATGAAGGTTCTGAGACAAAGTCTACAGATTCGGAAGACTACAAAGATAATGAAATTGATAAAAATGAAGATGACATGCTATTTGAAACTCATGTGGATATGAACGTGGAATATGGTGGTTTAATAAGGGATAATGTGACTGATGAGGCTAGTACTCATGAAGCTGGGGTTGGTTTAACCAACAATCAAGCACAAGTTACTAACTTGTAGAAGGATGAGTCAGCTTCAGATGAGCTTAGAAGCTTTGGGACTTCCAAAATCTTCATCAAGTGAAGGTGAAGATAATGGAAAGAAGAAATAAAGGTACCCTCAATTTATTATGCATACAAATATGGTTGAGCCCTAGTTTAAAGTTGGGATGCTATTTGGTACTTCCAAAATCTTTAAAGATACTGTCAGACAACATGCTATAAAGACTGAAAAATCAATTAAGTTTGTAAAAAAAGGATAGCCTTAGGGTGAGAGCCACCTATAAGCCTCCATGCAAGTGGGTCCTTTTTGTATCTAAGGTTCAAGGAGAAAATAGTTTTCAAATCAAAAATACCACTCCACATACAACTGTGGCAGAGTTTTCCACAATGGATAAGTCAATTCAAATTGGTTGTCCAAACAGTACATGAAGACAACCAACCCTACATGGCCATTGTCTTATTTCCAACAAGCTGTGCAGCTAGACCATAAAGTTAAGGTCTCAAGGAGTCAACTTTATAGGGCCAAGAAGAAAACACAAGTGCTTATTGAAAGCAGCCATCAGGAACAATATGCAAAGCTATGGGATTATTGTGAAGAAATTAGAAGATCAAATCTTGGGTCAACCATTATTATACGGGTTCGTGAGATTCAACCAGAGGATGAGGATGAGGATGATGTAGGGAAGTCCAGATTTGAAAGGATTTATGTATGTTTGGG